CCACGAGAAGTCGAAGAACGACTTATACGTCGCGCCTGAGTACGAGATGAGCTCGTCTTCGAAGGGATCGTATCTCTTGCAACCGTTTCGAAGGCAGATGACTGCCCTTTGACCTTTGAAGAAACGCCAGAAGAACCTGAAGCAGAAAATCAGACCGAAATCCGTCTCGAAATTTTCCTGGTTCTCATTCTTTGGCGTTGAAACTCTGCGATTCCGGCCGAAATTTTTCAACACGAAAACGAGGTAATTTTTAGAGTTCAGAATTTTGTTGAGGTACAAACCTTGGGTGACGTTGAAGACTTCATCCGTCAAGATGGTGTCTGTTTCCAATTCGATGGATGCTAATTTTACAACCTCACTGCACGTCGCCTCCTCTCGAGACCCCATTAAATTTTCGTCAACTTTGATACAGTAGCGGGGTAAAGTTTCCTTCAAAGAGTCATTTACGTCACGCCGATGGCGCCCAGAAATTTTTCCCATTTCACGGCTCGATTTGAAAATTTCCTGTTGGGTGCTCGTGTAGAACACTAGGTCGAACAACTCATCCGGGTCGTTGAGAATGAAAAGCATATTTTTGGCATGATATGTTACTGAGCTTGTAACTTCGCTGTAGCGAGGAATCGAGATGGTCTGAATAGAGGCTTCGTGTAGGCGCTGCGTAAAATTAGCGAATTCCGGATCATGATCGAATTCCACGATGTAAAATATCGGCTGCGCGGATATTTTAACTATATTTTGACACATACAAAAAGATAGTGAATTTAGTGAGCTCATGTTCTCACCTGGTAGATCCTGGAGATCGAGAAGCCCGCTCATGTCGGAAACAATTTGCGGGACTAGCAGGAGGACCGGATGAAAAATTTTCCACATTTTTGACCGAAAGACTTCTGCCTCGCAATAGAAAAATATAATTTTCAGATGGCGATGCCGGAGTGCGCCACGTCTACTATGTAAGGAGTTGGCAAAATTATAGAGAGAATTAGATTTGAATTTCATTTCCTCAAAAGAATAAATCAATACGAGGAAAAAGAAGACCGTTGACATACTTTTCCGATGAGCATCTTGAAACGTTTTTGAAACATTGAACCAACTGCACACGCAATTACTTTTGGAAGCAAAATTGGACGTAGTTCTGTGAAACGGAACTATGTGCATCAAGATATGAGCCCTGAGACCCATAAGAATATATGTGTAACAGGGCTCACGTCATAATGCACATAGTTGCGTTTCACAGAAATGCGTTCAATTCACTTCCTCGTTGTGAACAACTTTCTCAAAAGGATATCTCAATCAGTGAGAACGAAAACACGCCAACTCGGCAACTCGAAAATGCTCAATTTCCATTAAAGACAGTTGATTTACCTACATGAAAGTCATCGAAGTTAACGCATCTGTTCCAACTTGGACCTTTAAAGTGTCCGTAAGTGCTTGTCTTTCGGCAGCAAAAATATTTTTCTTAAACTGACTTCTCCACCTGTCCTGCAGTTCTGTGTGTGTCTTGATTATTTTCATTTTTCCGAGTTGGTGTGTTTTCGTTCTCACTGATTCATCCGTCGGCATATCAATGCCCAAGTAACGGAGGTTGCAACAACTTGCGACAAAATCGTTTGATTCTTGCAACTAATAGATTGATGTGCAGATTGCCTACTCTCTTCCCCGAAGGAGCTATCATTGTTGGAACTAGTTGCAATTAAGTTGAAACATGTTTCAACTTCAAAGTATTGCTGGTTGCCTATTGTTACATTTTGAACAACTTTGGTGCAGCAATTTTGCAATCTCAGCAGGTTGCAACTTTGTCTTCCGATAAGATCGCCGAAAATCGGCATTTATCGACCAAAAGTTGACCGAAAGTTGCAACCTTGATGCAACTAATACCAACATTATTTCAGCTTGTTGCAACTTTTACATTGAAAAATGCTACTTGGGTGGGAGAAAAATATAAAGGCACATAAAATGTACGGATAAATGTCTGGATATGCGATGTTGTGAGGAAGCTCGATCCTCGTTCAAAACTCCCGCCAGAGGCTGCCGACCGCTCAGCGGCACCACCGAGCACACACCGACCACCAGCGGAGCCGCTGTTGTCCTAGATTTTTGCCCCGTGTTGTGATAAGGACTGATCCAGCTCGCCAAGAAAAACCGTTTTCGACAAATGCCCTGGTAGAGTCTCCGTGCAACCCCGTTCGTCCTCCCTGGAAGTGCAAACAAAGTGCATATTCGCCTGGCTGCCGCGAGTCGCATGAGAAGTGTCCGGAAAGTGCCCGTGTAGTGGGGAACTACGAGGTTCCAATACCAATAGAGAAAGGAGGTCATCCGCCCCCCCCCTCCTCGCGACGTCGTCCGATGTACCAGAGTGACGGAGTGTTGCCCACGTCACGCGGTCCGCGCCTCCGGCTTCGCGCAGCCTCTGCCGCTTCCGTCTCCGGCGAGGCCCACGGCACACCAGCCAGTCGACCGCGGTTGAGCGGACGGCGCTCTGTTATGAGCAGCCGATCGCAGCACAACCTCGCGAGGAATCGTCGGTGAGTCCAGGCTTGGAACTTCGCGATTTGGCCACCACGTCGCTCTGTGGAACACCCAGTAAGAAAATATTGTCAAAATCCCCAAAAATAAAGTCTTAACTTTGTAATTTGAGGAATATTATTTCAGTAATCGTCGAAGGAAAGTGAAATTCTCAGTGGTGACCGGTGGCGCTATCTCTAATCTTGAATTATCCCTACTCGAACCCTGGATTCACCTTAACTCAGAGACCCTTCCTCCGAACCCATCCATCCCTCCATCCATCCCTTGCATCAAAAGTGAGGATCAGCAGATAATTCAACCAGTTCCTGTTAGACGGGCATAAGTCCAATAACTCACGAGCCCTGGATTCCGTTGATCACGCAGGACGCTAGTTCTCATGAATTTTTGGACCTAAGCCCGTCTAACAGAAACATATTCAATGGAAAAATAACCCGCGAGGCGGCTGAATCCTTGAAAAATAAGTACTTTTTGACGTTTTCCGACCCCTGTCAACAAGTTGGGCCCGCCGCTGTAGCAGATAGAGTGAAAAATCCGATTAATGGAAGATATATGCGATCCTAGGGATTTTTTACAGTTCAAAATCTGATAGCAGCAGTTAGTTGCAAAGACCACTCGGAGGGTTGCAGCACTAGAGACAGCTCACGTAGTTTTAAATTGGCTCTTACGGGAGTCCAGGCTGTAGGTTCCGCTTTGCGGGCCTCATGAAGTAATGTAGATACAGCGGAAATATCTCCGGAATCTCCGATCATAAAGCAAAAATCATGGAATTTGGCCGCGGTAGCAGGGCCGGATTTAGGGGGTGGCCACATGAGCCGCGGCCCATGGCGGCAAATTTAGGGGGCGGCAAATTTTGCAATTTTTTTAAATGTAGCTATAAAGAAAAATCGGATTCAGAAAAAAAAATTACAAACGAGAAAAGGTGACCAAATCTCTCATTTCCTGAGAGTATATCTCTAATTTTGTCGTCTTTCTGTGATACAATAGACAGCACCTTTAATTAGTCGAGTTAAGACTAAGAGAAACCGAACACGGAATTTGGCCTGGAACGGTGCGGCGCAGAGAGCAATGATGACGAGAACTTGAAATGAAAAGGAGAAATCCTCGGCGCGGCGGTCGGCATGTAAGACATATTAGCGCCTACAAGACTGCATGAATACTTCACGCATTGCGTCAAAGACACCACGGCCGCTGCGATCAGCAGCGGGCGGTGTGAGACGCATAGCGCCTACAAGACTGTGAGAATACTCCACGCATTGCGCCAAACACATTGCAGTCAGCACGGCGCGGCGGCGGAAGTTAAAATTATTAAACTATACATTCATGTTTGTTCTTTCATAATTTTTTCGTTCATTGCATACAAATGGAAAGCCTTGTCAGCACAGAGATAGGTTTACGGAACTTAACTTTTGCGCCAAGTTCCGTGAACTTTTGCCAGTAGTGTTGACAGGGCTTTCGCAAAAAATGTGTCCAACAAGAATAAACGCGTCTTATGCACCCTTCCCCTTCCGGCACGTTCACTTGATGGTTTTATTGATGTTTCAAAATGAATGAGGGGGGGGGGGAATACAGGCTGCCCATGGCGGCAAGTAAGTAAATCCGGCCCTGCGCGGTAGGTCTGTAGAACAAACAGTGACAAAAAATGAAGGTTCACATTGTTTAAATGGGATAATTGACCACTAGACAAGGTAAGGATTTAAGCGATTTGATACGTGTTTCTTAACCAGAATTTCACGTAATACACGATTCACACAACGAAAATTACTGAAAAAAACTCTCTACGAAGATATTAACGTTTTTATTTCACATTGAGTACGAGGAATTTGAACTGCCCGCTCACAAGAAACACAAAGCTCCACGTGAGTCAAATCGCGCACTACAACGGTTTCAGCGAGCTTTTCAATCGAGTAATGTTCATTTCCCACCATGTATTTTTCAAACTGTATGTAATTTGCCATAGCTGAGCCAAAGCGTCAAGATCGCGGTTGCCAGAATTTTATATCGCAGAGACTGTCATGATAACGTTTAGCGCGCGATGTGAATCACGTAGACCATTGAGTTTCCATGAGCGGATGGTTTGAATTCCCGCATTAAGAATCATTGAATATCTTCGTAAGGAATTGATTTCGGTAATTTTCGTTGTGCGCGTCGTGTTCTACGTGAAACTTTGGTTAAGAAACAAGTATTAGAATGCTGAAATTCGTACCTTGTCTAGTGGTCCATTCATAACTTTATCACATTGCACACATGATTTGGGTCATATCATTATCGACAGGTTCAACGAGCTCTGCGTGGGATTTTGACGAGATAACATGTGATATAGTATTCATAAGTTGCCCTTTCGAAGGTCCATCAGTTGAAAGGAGCCACAAGAATGCGTGTGAAGACTTGTTGTTATTAAGAACTCGCGTGGTGACGTATCGCGACGATAATTAATAAAAATCATGAGAGCACTTTAAAAAGCCCCCTTCACTCGATAGAATCCTATTTATGGTCATGATGTTCTCGCTCGTGATAAATTGCTTCCGGAAGAATGCCACAATAGCAACACTTGTTGTGGCGACAGTAACAATTCAGTTCTGCTTCTAAACGAGTGCAGTGCTACAATGCAGTACTCATTCCACTGCTCTAAAGATTTGGGGAAATCTCAGAGGTAAGTTTCATCGTTACTTCTGAAAACAGAAGCCGACTACTGTAGATATTATGCTAAAGAAGAAAGCCGTATAAATATTCGAGAGTTGCCAAATTTCCCCGGATAAACATGTATTTTTGACGAAATTTTTGTATATTTTTCCTTAAACTTTTCAGATAATCTAGAATAAATTGCGAACATAATAGTCCGAAAAATCAGAAGAAAAATATTTACAATTTTCCAATTTTAAACCCAAAATTTTACGATCTAGAATCCAGACTCTTAAAAATTTGACAAGAAAGAAAAAACTCTTAGTTCAATCAGATTTTTGCTTGAATCGAGAGCCAAGAATCTTAATTCAAGTGAACAAGATTACCTTTTGACTCAAGCAAAAATCCGATTGCATAAGGAGTATTTTTTCTTGTCAATTTTTTTAAGAGTCTGGTCTCTGGATCCGAAACTTTTTTTCCAGTGGCGTGGCGTGAAGGATCGATTATCGATATTTCTCCATTTGAAGCTGTAGTAGGCTGTAGAAGCTGTATCAAGGTGTTCACAACGAATACCTTGATAATCGATCCTTTTCCATAGATTTATATGGCAGATCAATCGATGTATCGCAAAGCACGCCACGCCATTGTTTTTTTCCAGTGAGGGTCGCGTGGCCCTAAAGCCAAACAAACGAAGGAAGAGATATTTTGGATCTAGTCTTGAGGTAAATTTCAAAATTTCAATTTTTCAGTGCACCACCATCAACCGAAACAACAAAGACAATGGACCTGATACAACGGTTGAATTCCGTCGTTTTCCCCGAGGCAGTTGAAACCGGTGGCTTCGGGGATGATGTGGAAAAATTCGTTTCCTTCGAGCCCAATGACAACAAAGGCACCGATCAATTTTGCTCGGAACCCGTGTTTGGCCAAGTCGTATTGGAGAAGAAAACGGGCGAACGCTTCGTTCAGCCGGTTCTCGTGAAAGCTCAAAGCAGGTATGATGAATTGATTCATATCCGTCGAAACATATTGACTAGAATTTGCCTCATATTTAAATCAGAGAGAATGAAAACAAAAAAAAACTCGAAAAAACGAAAAGTTTCAGGAGACACAAAAAACTGCATAGTAAGAGAAAAAAATTATTATGAGGAAAAGCTCTTTGCTGTAAAAGGCAAGTTCTCGGGCCGAGGCTTTTAAAAAACCGCAATGAAAGCTAACATTGTTTAAATGGCAGAATTCGCTACTTTACCACGTAATATAACAAAACCTGAGTCATATTTTCAAAATCTAAATAAAGCGGGCTCATCTAGAGACAATCGAGATGTTGCAAGTGTGAGGAATTTGCGATTTGACTATGAATTCTTACGTAAAAGTTCAAGAGAAACACGATGGTGCCACTGGTTTTCTCTGGTGTCAACTCCCTAGCTCAAAAAATCTCTCAATTTGAGGCCAAAATGGAGGGGATATCCCACCCTACCCTGAGAGTCCACCTCTACATCAAAACAAACTCTCCATGCAAAAATAGGGAGCAAATACATTAGCAGTGATGCCGTGATTTGAGTTTTTGAGTCCCCATATAGAGTGGCAGCCCTGTCAATGTATTTGCTCCCTATCTTTGCATGGAGAGTTTGTTTTGATGTAGAGGTGGACTCTCAGGATAGCGTGGGATATCCGCTCCGTTTTGGCCTCAACTTGAGAGCTTTTTTTGAGCTTTGGAGTTGATACCAGAGAAAACCAGTGACACCATCGTTTTTCTCGCAAAATTTTACTCAAGAATCAATTGTCAAATTGCAAATTCCTCAGAAATGCAACATCTCCATTGCCTGTCGATAGCCGCAAAACTCATGAAAATCGGCCCGGTGGAACGCTGGAACTAAGCGTTACCAGATTCGCAAATTCAGGAGGTCTCGGAGCTTATATATATGATTGCACTCTTTCAGGGCCGAATTCCCACCGCAAGAATTCTCGGACTACATGTTCCACAACGAGGTTCTATTCTACACGCGGATCATGCCTTTGTTCCGGAAATATGACAAGTGCAACGTGCTTTCATCCAGCTTCCCCGAATTCGTGTGCGGAAAAGGGACGATTGGCCAGAGGCCCACCGAGAACATCCTCGTGATGAAGGATCTCCGTCAGAAAGGATTCGAGCCGTGCAGGACCCCGTATCGTTTGGACGAGGACCACCTGGAGCTCGTCCTGGACAGACTGGGCAAGTTTCACGCCTTATCACTGGTTTGTAAACTGGAAGATCGTGCTGGATACGAGGCAGTGAATTCCCGTATCTGTGCCGGCGAGTATTCAAAGGGAGTCCGCGCATTTGGTGCCGTTGTCTCCGAGGAGGTAATCTGCCGAGCTAAGGAAGAACGCCGTATAAGCCTTTAGGCGTTGCCAAATTTCCGTTTTCATAATACGAATTTACACACGGAGAAAAAAACCTCGTGCGTGGGACTCGAAGTTTAGGTCATGTGGATCTCTGAAGTTTTCAGATTGAGCATCTGAACACTTTAGGTCCAGCTGCTGAGGTTTGGATCACACATCTGAAACTTCAGTTCTTACATCTCAAGTACTTCGGTTTTCACATCCGAACAACTTCGGTTCTCACATCCGAAAAACTTCGGTTCTCACATCTGAAGTACTTCAAATGTAAGAACTGAAGTTTCAGATGTGTGATCCGAACCTCGACGGCTAGATCTAAAATGTTCAGATGCTCAATCCGAGAACTTCAGAGATCCATATGACCTAAACTTCGGGTCCCACGCCCGAGGTTTTTTTCTCCGTGCAGGAAAATTGTGAATATTTTTCTTCCAGACAAAATTTATCGCTTTTTAATCTGAGATATCTGGAAATTTCAAGGGAAAATATGCGTGACTTCCCTCCGGAAGAAACATTTTATCTGAGAGAATTTGACAACTCTTGAATGTTCATACGGCGTTTTCCCGTAGTATGGCAATTATATGCTCTTGGCATATTGGAACAATAACTATTAGAGCGCATTGTATGCGCGGGAAAACGTTTACGGGTACAGTAGATTGTACGCCATAACATACATTGTGACATAGGATCTTTGTGATTTTGGACCACTAGACAAGTTACGAAGTTAAGTATTCTGATACATGTTTTCTGACGTAAATTCCACGTAGAACACGATTAGCGAAACGAAAATTACTGAAATTAACTAGAAAGATATTCAATGTTTCTTGAACCATGAATTCAAACCTCCCGCTCATGATAACACAATCGTCTACGTGAGTCAAATCGCACACTAAACTTCACCATGACAATCTCTGCGATTTAAAATTCTGGCAATCTCAATCTTGACGCTTTGGCTCAGCTGTAGCAAATTGTTTACACTTTGAACTCTGGAGGGAGGGAAAGGAACAATGCTCGATTGAGAAGCCTGCCAAAACCGTTGTGAGTCGCGATTTGACTCACGCAGAGAATTTCGTTTCTTGTGACCGGGCAATTCAAAATTCCCGTAACCAATGTAAAAGAAAAAAGTTAGTATCTTAATCAGGGGTTGATTTCAGTAATTTTTGATGCAAGAATCGTGTTTTACGTGAAATTTTAATCAGGAAACATTTATCAGAATGCCTAAATTCGAACCTTGTCTAGTGGTCCATTCTTTTAAGAAAAATCCTGCGGTTTCATTGTTTTTGTGATTTATTTTTAGTTTCACCGCTGATGGGTTAATGATGCCCGAAATGCATTGGAAATGTGTACTGTTCCTTCCATAATGTATGTTGCGGGGTACAAACTGCATTTTCAACTAATACTGAGGGCTATGAAGCTTCTCATAAGATCATACTCGCAACGAGCAAGCTCCGTTGATTAGGTTCAACATCTGGATGCGACTATACATCCTCCTAAGATGTGCGTGTTGCATGTGCAAAAATTAAAGGCGTTCTAGCTTCCCTTGCGATCATGCTGGCTACAAACGAGACATTTTGGTTGCAACACCTGGATACAACTACTCGTGTTCCTAGGATGTGCAGATTGCATAAGAAAAAAATTTAAGGCGCTCTAGCTTCCCCTGCGATCATGCTGGGTAGAAAAGAGCAATATGTTAGTTGTAACATCTGGATACAAATATTCGTACTCCTAGGACGCGCGGATTGCATATGCAAAAAATTTAAGGCGCTCTAGCTTCCCTTGCGATCACTCTAGCTACATGTACAAGCGAGGAATTTTAGTTACAACACCTGGATTCAACCATTCGTCCTGCTAATATTACAGGTTACAATTGGATTGCATTTTGAAGAGAGGAACCATGTGCATGCTAGTGTTGCTAGGATCGTGCAACTTACCTGTTTTGCAATTATATTACTGAAATTATGCACAAAATTAAATTTACAAATGTAATTTTTGTCTTGAACTTATAGTTCACTGGGATTAAAAAGTAAAACTTGTTTCGATGATCAGTTCACAATTGAAAGGTAAAAAAAGTTGCACAATATTAGCGACATTGAAATACTTTTGGTTCCTTTTTGCAAAATTCAATCCAATTAGTACTGTCAGGGCAACAATTCCTTCTTTTTGTGTCTCGTTGACAAAGACAAAATGTTGATGATCTGTCTTATTGAGGCCTAAAAATGGGTTAGTTAGCTGGTCACAGAATCATGTTTCGATGCCTGATTCTTGTAGATTAGCTAAGAATAATAAGATCTGTATTAACCGCAACTTTCTACGTTCAACAATAACCGGGATAACGCCCTTTGAAAAGTCGGGGTTTTGACGTCATCCACCGCGGTAGTGACACCCTTGGTTTCTTCCACCTTGCTTTCATCAGTCAGCGTGACGCACATTTGCACTGGTTACTGATCGTGAAACTCGGAGGAAACCAAGGGTGTCACTGCCGCGGTGGATGACGTCAAAACCCGACTTCTCAAAGAAAGATATCTCGGTGCTGAAATTAGAAAGTTGCGGTTTGGACTGATCTTATTATTCTTAGCTAATCTACAGGAATCAAGCATCAAAAAATAATTTCGTAACCAGCGCAACTGACCGATTGAATCTAAGAAACTTTGCTTTCTTGTCTCAGGCTTTCCGCGACTGCATGTTCCGAGGCATCGAGCCCCTCCGAAATGACCCCGACTACAAAGACCGTCTAGCGGATCTGTGCGCCAACTGCGAGGAACCTTCCAAGTGGCTGGACAAATACGCCCTCACTTCGAACCCCTTGAGTGAGCCTCTGAGTGTGATCAACCACGGTGATTTCCACATCAACAACATGATGTTCAAGTACCAGGACGATGGGAAACCCTCCGAGGTTGCGTTCTTCGATCTCGCCGTTATCAGGAACGCCACGCCGGCTGTCGACCTCAGTGTCATGTTTCTCTTCGGCGTTGACCCGGATATCATCCGCAAATGTTGGAGCAATGTTTTGCATGTTTATCACGGTGAGTAAACGATTCAGGGTCCAATTCTTGGCAGTTTACACCGAAGAAAAAGTGAAGTTGATTTGGATTGCATTTTGCAAAAAGGAACCACTAGCATTACAATGATGCTAAGATTGTGCAACTTCATCCTTTGCAATAAAATTGCGGAAATTGTGAAAAACTATGAAATTTAGATGTTAATTTTTGTCTTAAATTTACAGTTTTTAGCGAGTGAAATAGAAACTATTAAGGGATAATCGGGTTTTTCCTCCAAGACAAAATAATTTATGCACAATCTTAGCAACATTGCAATGCTAGTGGTTCCTTTTTGGAAAATGCAATCCATATTACATTCTGGTGGTAAAAAAAAGTGTGCGAGAACTTTGAAATGCTGAATTACCAGCAACAGCAGTTAGTTTTACATTTTGGCATTGCTAAAGCGACTGATGCAGAAGGTAATTTAGCATTTTTTAAGTTCTCGCACACGTTTTTTACATCCAGAATGTTAAATCAACGTTACTTCTTTTTTCGGTGTAACTGCCGTACTGAGAAAGAACACCGTATGAGCCTCTGGACGTTGCCATGCCTCTTTCAACTAAAACCAATTTACTGGGAAAATTAAAAATGTTTTTCCTCAAATTTTTCAGACTTTGTTTGATATAAAATCTGAAATACCTGAAAACTTCAAGCAAGAATATACACAACTTCCTGTGCACAAAAATGCATGTTTCATCCTGTGGAATTTTACAACTCCCGAATGTTCTTCCTCAGCACAACAGTGCGGTCGACCGCAGCTTCAGGAACGTGACCTATAAATTCGACTTTAGGTCGTAAAAATTATATTCTTCACTCTACTGGAGAAAAAAAGTCTCTCGGATCCATACGCGGTTCTAGACCTTCATGCTTGGGGGTGCCCAGAGGTGGAAAATGTCGGAGACCGACCCCGAAGGGGACGGTCGCTCAGGGGAGGCCTAAATTTCGGCCCTCAAGTTTTATCCCTTTCCTACCCTCCTTTCTCTTTTTCTCTCCTTCCTTTTCTACTTAAATACCTATAAATTCAATGTAGAAAATTTTTAGCAAAACTTTCCACCAAAACTACAATCTTACCATAAAAAAACAGTAGAAGCTTTGTAAAACACGGCTATCAATATTAATTCTGTTTGAAACATTTTCAATTGATTGCTGGGATTTTTCCTCAGTGTGAGCGAATACAGAATCTTTAAGAGCAGTAATTTCACGGTTCTGATAACCGTGCTTAATTTTTGCTTGGGGGTGCCCGGCACCCACTGGCACCCCCGTAGAACCGCCTATGCTCGGATCCTGGGTCCAGAACTCCAGATTCAATGGGCCTGTTGCAAACTTTTGCTAGAGCAAAATTAAGAGTTGTTTCTTATTGAAAATGGATCAAAACTCAGGATGAACGCTTCAAAAAAGTCTGAAATGCACTTCTAACTTCACAATCTGCTCAAGAAATTAACGTTATTTTGAGCTTCCACTTCAAAAACGATACCACGGCACAGGTGAACATGTCGTTAGAGGATTCGTCCCATTCAACTTTTACGTACTAGAAAACCGACATACGTATGTGCATAACCGACGCTATCAAGACGGATCTTTATCAACGCGAGGAAAACGTGAATGTAAACACGCCAGGTTGTTGACAAATGGTTAGAATTTCCTCGCGGCACATGAGTATTGGCCAGTTTTGGCGGATTGGCGTCGGCCATGTTAAATATTGTGCAGAATCCTGCTGCACAGAGGTTGGAAGGAAAGACTCCTCTGACGAAATGTTCACCTGTACCGTGGTATCGTTTTTAAAGCGGAAAGCTAAAAAAACGTGGATTTTTTAAGCGAATTGTGAAGTTAGGAGTGCATTTCAAACTTTGTTAATGCGCTCATTGTGATTTTGAGCCATTTTCTATAAGAAACAACTCGTAAGTTTGTTCTAGCAAAAGTTTGCAACAGGCTCATTTTCCATAAAGACGCGTTGAATTCCCGAAAGTAAAGTAAAGTAAGTAAAGAAAGTAAAGATTCCTCCTATATATCACCAAAAAGACATGCAGTGGAGAGTCTCTTCCCACTGTTTTAAACTCCCGATTGCGGCCCTAATAATCGTCCGATGATTTTTCCAGACGCCTTGTCCAGTCAAATGGGCGATCAGCGAGAGAAGCCATCGTTTGAGACGGTGGAACTGGACCTCCGGAAAAAGGGAATATTCGCCTACTACATTCTTGCATGTTGCTCGCCCAAGGTAATGGATGTCAAAGAGGGGATCAACCACCCTCCACCACCCGTGTTAGAGGGCTTGGACGATGATCAGTTGAAGGCGACGATTAAGGAGCACATAAGCGAATTGCGGAGGAGAGGAGGCACCCAGGCCACTGAGCTTCTTGCCGAAATCGTCAGGGTCATGATCGATAAAAAGTTCATTTTTGAGCACTGATGGGCAGTTCGTCTTCCGAATGACAAAAGAGCGTAAGACACGTCGAGATGAGTCCGGAAAAACTTTAAATTGTATGGATGGCAGGGTTCATTGCTGATTGTAATTACACCCCAGAAAGCGTCTGGCCGAAAGTCAGGCGAAACAAACGTAAAAGCTACCTTTTGCATGCTTTTGTGGCTGAGTTTGAACACAAAACAAAGAAACTTTCAGGTTTGAAATTGGCAGGGAGGGCATTTCATACTGAAAAAAAGATTGGTAGAATTTACCATTTCTTCACGCTGTATATGGAATACAGCGTGAATTCTATGTCGATTCTGCTAAAGGAATGGTTACCTGTACCGGCATATAGTAACGTTTACCTTTTTTCTGGCAGAATTGACTCTGAATGGACGCTGTGTGAAATACAGCGTGAAGGAATGGCGGATTCTACCAATCTTCAAGTCGATTCTGCCAGAGGAATGGTAATCTGTACCAGTCTATAGTAACGTTTACCTTTCTTCTGACAGAATTGAATCTGTGAAATACAACGTGAAGGAATGGTACATTCTACCAATCTTGTTTTTCACTGTGCTTAAAAGCATGGCGGACAGACTAATGGACATATTCTGTCAAACGGAGCTATGTGCATTATAACGTGAGCCCTTTTATGCACAAATGCTTATGGGTCTCAGGGCTCGTGTCTTAATGCACATAGTTCCGTTTGACAGAAACACGTCCAGATGATCTTGAAAGACTTCACAGACAGAGGCAAATGGGCTTGATTTGAGAAATATTTTTCAAAAACCGTCTGCTGCAGTGTGTTTTGTTTTTTGGGTTAGGATTATTTCAGCCGTTGATGGGAAACGGCAGAGTTTTAAGGACTTAAACCATATGGTAATGATTCTTAGTATTACTGATTTCCTAAGGGAAACGCCGTATGAGCCTTCGACCTTAGCTGTAATTTCCGAAAATACTAATTTTTTGTAATACCTGTAATTAATTTTTTCCAGTTTTTCACACACACAAAAAAAAAAGTGGAATAGAATTTGTAGTTACCTGTAAATTTGTAATAAAGATGTTCAAACTTCTTCATGAATAAATATTCCATTAACCTGCTAACCAAATCACAAACCCTATCCAAGTAGTTCGTCTTAGCAACAAATACGTTCAATAGTAGGCCGTGTTTCAGCAACTCCACCTCAATGATTTAAAGAGGAATACATAATTATTTGTTTTTCGCAATGATAGGGCCAAAGATACGACCATGATAGCCAAGTTGCATTCAAAATGTCATTATATACCCTCTCCTCGCACAACTTGCGGTTATACGGAGACATGCAATTGCAAACCCGCCAATATTTGATTTATAGAAAAGTATCATATCGTCGGCTTCTTTAGTTACGATCTCTGAGGAGCACTTCAAAAGCCCACTCCCACTCGATGGCGGATGAATAATAAAGAATTGACAGCGCACGACCAGTGGCGCGGCGCGGCGTGAATTGCGATGCATCGATTGTTATCCTATTTAAACCTATTGCAAAGAATCGATTATTACGGTGTTCGCTGCGAACACTGTGTTTATCGATCCATTTCCATAGGTTTAAATGGCATAACAATCTGTACTCCAGGTATACAGAAACAATAATAAGTCAAAGATAGAATTTCAGAATTAAAGGATCGGATCTTATTCATGTTATCTGCAGTGAACAAAGGAACAATTCAACATTGAAATATGTTTTATTCTAACAAAAATTAGTGGACAATGAGAGGAGATAGCAATTTGACTGCCGTATTGCATCACTTCTATAATTTTCTCACCATACCTGCGCGTTTTAAATATCTTTTGAGTCTTCGAAAATTTTAAAAGTGGGCTTTCCGTTTCCAGCTTTTTGGCTTAAAGAATATACATAAATCACCACATAATCCACTCACCTGGTACTTTCAATAAAATACACGAGGTTTAGTGGCCTCTACTTGGGAGGGAGGATGGCAAAACTACGCATTCGAATACCCTTATATTCAAACAATTATTTAGTGTTAAACATTTCATTATTCCAACTTGCATGATGCAACTAAATTGGATCCAACGCTCATTTTCAGACACGTTCAATAAGTGAGAGCTCTGCAAAATTAAATCGATTGAATGGACTTTATCGCTCTTCTCTTCAACGCAGACAGAGATAATGGCTTGAGTTTGATTATGATAACATAAAACTATGAACTCTCGTAAATGATAGAACTTGTTCATGAGCATAGACATTAGATCGGTGGACTGGTGCTATGTGCTTGTGAAAAATGTTGTTTTCTCGCAGCGTGTTGGTATTTGAGATATCATCAAACTATTGATTTCACCGCAGCTGAGAAACCACTTACCCTGTAAGTATCTAACTTTTGTCTTGTGAATTAGGTATCAAAATGCGTTAAAGTAGGTAAATATGTTACATTGAAGTAATCGTGAAAATGCTGTTATTTCCTCGATCAACATCTTTACTCCAGCAGTAAAGTTTTTGGTGGCTACATATCTACATTTCTGATAATTTTTTCGTTAGAATTTAGGTACTGAACATACACTTTCTACTGAGCGGGAATGAATGTAAAGAATATCATAAAATGTAAAGATTTGAAATAAGTCACGATCAAAACCAATTTCTTTCCGCACGAAGATCTCATTCTCTTTGAACGCTTACACACATTGTAGATCATGTCTAAACATAAAAATTATTCTTTATTCTATAAATATTCTCATAATCCACCCACACTATTTAAAAAAAATTGAAATAAACCCTGGACTTCTTTCTTCGTGTAAGAAACAATAGTGCGCCTTCAATAGTTTGACTATGCATCACGGGCAACACTCAAGTACGAATAGTTGTGTCTAGGAATCGCTTATTTCCATCAGTGCTGCGCACTCGTTTTCATTCTCACTGCTAGCACAAGGAAAGTCAGTGCGCCTTCAATGATTTTCCTATGCAACACGCACACCTATCAAGTACGAATAGTTGTATCAAGGCTTTGCTCCGTAAATACAGCTGTTCACTATCCGGCTGTTTGCTCTGGGGCGGGCCGTATTCATAAGCTACTACTATTCACATTATCAAAGCTAGCCATCTAAATATCAAAATCAGGTGTTGTGATCGGCTTATTTGATGACTTGAACCAAAGATGGCACTTGATCTTCACTGGAAAAAAAACACATTGGATCTAGAGTCCAGACTCTTAAAAACATCGACAAGAAAAAATCAATCAATCAGAATCTAGCTTAAATCAAGAACCAAGCCTCTTAATTCAAGCGGATTTCGTTTTGATTCCAGCAAAAATCCGATTGAATCAAGAGTATTTTTTCTTGTCAATGTTTTCAAGAGTCTGGACTCTAGATCCAATGTGTTTTTTTTCCAGTGTTGACATTTTGATGAAGTATTCTGATAGTGCGGTACAGGCTATAGTCGTTCCTCAAATTGCTGATTTCCATAGAGGGACTTATTTGATTTTCATTTTAAATACGGGAGATTTAAGGAGATCCTCAATATACCATTATGGAAACGACAATTTTTACAAAATTCGAGAAAAAATCCTGTAAAATAATTTTGAAAATCAAGCTGTCTACTAAAACAGGCTTGCAAAAATCAGTACTTTCACAGTACTTTTTTAGTAAATTCCTAAGAACTTCTGTACCACAATTTGACGAAATTGGAAAAATTTCAAAAATTTGAAATTCTCGCTCGATATGCGACAAAAATTACGTAGACAAACACAAAATTTCATTGGTGCCTTGAAGATTAACTGACTGCAAAATCGCGATCTTGCAGGAAATACTACTTCAATCAACGCGCAGGGATTGTATACTTTCAGGGCTTTCGTGGAGGTCTGAAGGAAAAAATTCTGGACCTTCTCGCAGTATTTACGCACTTTTTCAGTACTTCCGGACCACCCTTATAAATCAGTACTATTTTCGGACTAGTAGACACCCTGAATGAACCGCTGAAAAAGCGTGTGCGTTTAAACTTCCCGCGTCCCCTCTCTCTTCCGACTCCTGACTCTCTCATTGGTGGATGCCTGCAGGCCATGTCAGTGCTTCCACCAATGAGAAGGGGTTGGGGATAACGCTAGGAGGGGAAGGGAAGGTCGGTGATGGGTGTTTCAGTAGTCAGGCAGTCATCAAAGCTGCAAGGGCTCCTTTTGTTTCTCATTAATGATGTGAGTGCTCTTTCAAGGGCTACCCCTTCTGAGGGTGGTTATGTTTCTTTTTCTGTAGTGTGGTTTGGGTCGATCAGTGGCATTTTCTACTTACAATTAGCATACTCCGTTTGTTTCACTCTTTTTCTTTGTAGATTGTGACTTGTCACACGGTACACGAGGGATTACAATGATTTATCTCTGTAAAAATTCAAAAATGGAAAAGAAAACATTTATCAGACGTCTTAAATTTTAAGGTAGATTCCGACTCTACGGTTTGTCAAAGTTCAATCAGTTTTTCTACAGTTTTTTTTTTTATTTTTCACGATGATAAATCATTGTAATGCCTCTTATGCTCTAGTTTCGAGTCATTCCGATGGAGTTTACTGGAGATTTGTTAAAATTTTCCTATCTGTATTCTATGTTAAGAATTTTCTTAAAGTGATTCGATGGCAGCCATGTTTTGTGTCGGAACGTCATGCGATTTATCGCAAAAATTATACCATGTTTTCAGCTACTTGTCATTTTTATCGATTTTTGAAGTAGCACTTCTGTTTCCACGAGACTAAAAAATTCCCCTACCAAATTTGACAAGCACATTCAACGTAATAAAATGGGACTTTATTAGAGGATAACTATAGCATTCAACACTGATATCGAAACTGCACTCAAATGCAATAATTTTCCCTTAAAGAAAACCCGACCTTTATTGCGTTGAAATTGTTAATAAAATTAGGTAAAAGGATTCTTTAGTCGCGTGACAACAGAAATGCGATCTTGAAATTCGATATAAATGACAAGTAGCTGAACATGGGACTAATCGATGCGATACACAAAACATGACGGCCATTGAATCACCTTAACCCTCTGTAGCATGATTAATTTTATGTAGATCTTAGGTTCTGGGGGACACTACTCCATGTTGTAACTCGCGTAGAGCAAAAATTGTTTTTTCAAAATTTGAAATTTTAGGGAATCAGTTATTTAAAAAAGGAAAAAATAATGATTTGCAAAAGTATGCCATCGAGAAAAGATTTCATTTTTAAAAACTCCAAAAATACGTTACTACGAATTCGTAACGCTATGCCATAGAAGGTTTATACCTCCTTTGTACTCACAATGTATTCCATGTATGTATGTTAAATTTATGTCGCAATTAGCAATCGCTGCCAATTCGCAAGCGGTTCACACGTTGTTTCATAAATCTCAATAATGCGCATCGGCATAATGCAATTTTTAAGGGGTATGGTCTTCACAAGTATGAGCTCGGCTTGAAGCGCCTTCATTTTTTGTGATACTGTACGCTTTGTCACGATGTTAGTTTAGTTGCATGTCCGATCTCAACCCAACTAATGTCACGGAGTTCACCGCACGATCTTCTGAGTGTGCATATCCCTGCACATCCCTAAGTGTGCATATGTTTTTGAGGATGGGAACGTGTCTATATTCTCATTATAGGCAACATGATCAGCACTCTAATCTTGTTCTTTAATTTTTGAATTTTATGATTTTCTATGTTTATTTACCACTAGCTTGTAAATTGCCGGCGATTGCCAATTGCCTGCGACATTTATAAACTAAAGTTTTTTATAACAATTAAGATCCAACATTTTCCCTCCACTTTCTGATCTCCACACCATCCTTTCAAAGTATTTTCATGAAATCCCTCTCTTTTTCAAGCGAATTAATCTCCAAATTTAATGTATTCTTTCTTTGTCCTAACTTTTAATTTTGTACTGCCTTTTTGTGACCCCTACCTTTTAAAGTTTTAAATTCTGTACTATATTTTGATCTCTCCTCTAGGGTGTTAATGGCTCAATTTATTGTTAAAAGCCCCAAATAAACGTGTCTACCAACCAACCATTTAATCATAGCCTCATAGCTCCATATACAGAATAAAATATTATTTATTCATTTTATTTATTAGTTATCCATGTGAGGCCTCGTTAAAGAGGAAATACCTAAGGAAAATACTTAAATTAATACCCCTAATAATATTTCAGAACTAATTTAAATTGCTATTTCTCAGGGAGTCCTCGACAGGGGGAAAAATGGGCGTGGTCGAGAGATTAAATTCCACCATTTTACCCGCGGCAGTGAAGGCCGGTGGATTTGGGGAGGATGTGAAAAAATTCGTTAGCTTTGAAGCCAATGACACGAAAGGGACGGATCAATTTTGTTCGGCTCCCGTCTTCGGCCAAGTCACATTGGAGAGGAGTACATCCGAGCGTTTCGTCCAACCCGTTCTTGTAAAAACGCAAATTCAGTCCAGGTATGTTCAATTTCTCACGTCCCTTTGATGAAACCAATTTAATAAAATTAGGAATAGATAAACCAGAGCACGCATTTTGATGTAAAATTTTCAAATCACCTTACAGCTTTCCTATCGAAACTCGAATAAAATCCGTAAATTCGTTAATTTAAACATTTTACATCAAAATGCGGGCACCGGTTCATCTTTTCCTTCTTTTATTAGTTACATTATCATGCAAAATATGCATCTCACAAACAAGCTAAGTTCATTACTTTCACTATGGTGCACATAGCTCTTTTTAACATAATTGCGTCCATTTGTAATTCCTGGTTACAATAATTTATAATTGGACGTATTGCTGTCAAACGGAACTATATGCGCATTCTAATGTGAGCCCTGTTATGCATATATTCTTATCCGTCGCAGGGCTCATGTCTTAATGCACATAGTTCCAGGGACAAATTCAATCAAAATCAGCCTACCTGCATAATATGTCGCCTAGTTTTCTCTCCATCGACATTTTCTTACGGGAGAACTGAGCGCTGAAATATCTTCAAACTTTTGATGAACTTAGCTTCGATTGTGTAAAGAAATTTCTCCAGAAATAGGGCACAATGCAGTTAAGGTTTCTCGAAAAAAAAAAAAATAATAATAAAGAAGTCGGAAGAACTAAACAACGCCTGATGTAGTTAAACCAATTCGTCGCTTGGCTGACATAAGGGCGTAACTACACATTAAGATGAGCCTGGAAAAGCATTGAGTTGTATGGACGACAGGGTTCATCGCAGAGTGCAGTTACGCTCCTATGTCGAGAGGGCGACGAATTGGACGTATTTCCGCCAAACGGAACTATGTGCATTATGACGTGAACCCTGTTATGCATACATTCTTATGGGTCTCAGGGCTCATGCCCTAATGCATATAGTTTAGTTTGACAGAAATACGTGCAATTCTAGTGAACTTTGTATTTTTTTAACGTAAAGCAGGGGTGGTGATTTGCGCCGTTTCCGGCCCACCAAACTTACTCAACCGCACCTAGGTGCAATTTTACAGTAACTCGAAAATATTTTATATATGTCCCATCACTGAAAAAAAAATATGGTAGATTTTACCATACTGTGACACAGTGATATGAGAACGGTAATAAACACCAGACTCTATGGTAGCATTTATCACATAATGATACGTATCAGCAGAGTTCTGGTGAATACTGCCATCAGTCTGGTCATTTTCACTGGTATCACCGCGTGTAAAAAATCAAGTAGACTTTTAGAATATGTTACCATACTTTTTTTCAGTGAGTTCCCGCATTTATTTATTTTGGGGTATTTTTTTCTACCTTGCATGTTCATATAGGCGCAGCCGCCCGATAATCTAACCCCAACATTTTAAATTCGCAGGACTGGATTCCCACCGAAAGAAGTGTCGGATGGCTGGTTCTACAATGAGATCCTGTTTTACACAAAAGTGATACCTCTGTTGCGGAATTACGACAAATGCGAAGTTTTGTCGTCCAGTTTCTGCGAGTTCGTGTACGGCGCAACGACTGACAACCCTAATTCCGAGGAGAACGTGATCGTGTTGAAGGATCTCCGGGAGAAGGGATTCAAGCCATGCATCAACCCTGATCACTTGGATGGGGATCACATCGAGCTGGTGCTGGACCGACTGGGAAAATATCACGCTCTGTCTTTGATGTGCAAAACAGACAACCCGAGTGGATTTCACGAGGTGGCATCCCAGATCAAACAGATCAGCCACGCTGAGGCGATATCTTCGTTTGCTGGAATTATTACTAAGGAGGTACGCTTGGACTACATTCTGCAAAAAGGAACCACTAGCATTGCAATGATGCTAAGATTGTGCAACTTCATCCTTTGCAATAAAATTGCGGAAGTTGTGAAAAACTATGAAATTTAGATGGTAATTTTTGTCTTAAATTTACAGTTTTTGATAGCGAGTAAAATAGAAACTATTAAGGGATATTCGGGTTTTTCCTCCAAGACAAAAGAAGTTGCACAATCTTAGCAACATTACAATGCTAGTGGTTCCTTTTTGCAAAATGCAATCCACTTGAACTACATTTTGGAATTAGAAACTACAATATCCGTCTCATTTGTAAAAGCACTGATCTGCATACGAAAACTAATGGCACATACGGTGTTTTTAAAGTGAGCCGGAAATTTTATTTCCTTATTGCAAAGTGTTGTCCAATTTATTGGATGCATACAAACGAAAGAAATCCGTCTAGATTGGTGGAATTAAGGTGATTTTAAGTAATCCATGGCAGAGATTTGTCATTATTTGCACAGCATGTGTGTTTGACAGCCAATAACTATCATTATCTACGCATTCATCAAAAATTTACATAAAAAATTAAGAGGTCTGAATGCACTCATTAAATCAACGTATATTAGAGTGATGCAAAGACGTTATCATCTCAAACACATTGAAAAGCCCGTTTTCGTAATTGAATAAGTACGTATGGCCGTATACGTGGTTTTCCTGGAGAGTGCTTTTAGTTAGTTAGGTATTTTATTTATAGACATTTAGCATTGATATCTTGTATTCTAAGGTCCATGTATATATAATTTGTACTTATTCACGTCAAAACTCTAAATTTTAAAGCAATTGGAAAAAGTTCACTTTCGAAATGCATGTCTCCAGAAAAATCACGCATGCGGATACACGTGATGGAGAACACATCATGATGTGTTCTCCATCGATGTGTTCTCCATCGATGTGTTCTCCATCGATGTGTTCTCCATCGCGTGAAACTGAACAGTTTTGATGGGCGTATGTATAACACTAAATTGCTACATGTAACGGTGGGCAAGTACTCGTCAAAGAAGTTAACTTGAAATATGACACTTAGTGTCATATTTTTTGTTAAAAAAAATCCTGGTCGATCTATTCGGTGCGTGTTTTAGAGAAAAAGTGTCATATATTATCCATCATTCTGCTTAGAAAAATCCAGAGAATAATTTTTGAAATCTCCGAAGCATACATTTTTCCCTGTTTCGAAGCAAGAAGGCACCAGGCGAGTCGGCTATTCAGAGAAGACTCGTAAAATTAGGGGGAATGCCACTCGGCCCGCGATTGGATATATTTATGCTAAAAGGAACTATATGCATGGGGTTTGTGTGCAACATAGTTCCTTTTATCATAAATACGTCCAATTTATATCGCGGCTCTTGTTTTCTCTTTGACAGGTCCGGACTCTTCCTGTACAGGTACTCTAATTTTAGGCAGCAGTACCAATAACTCAAATTCGAATTTCTAGAAGGTAAAGTCTCGTTTCACAGATGCGATCACATCCATGTTTCCAGGCCTTCAGAGAATGCGTATTTCGAGGTATCGAACCATTGCGAAAGGAACCGAAGTACCAGGACAAACTGGTGGATCTGTGCGCCAACTGCGAAAACGCCTACGATTGGATAGACAAGTACGGGTTCGACTCCCGGAATCGGCTCACCGTTATCACGCACGGCGATTTCAAGCTGGACAATATGATGTTCAAATACCGCGAAGACGGAAAACCCATCGAGGTTGTGTTCTTCGATCTCGCCTGGATCAAACTTTCTTCGCCGGCGATCGATACCAGTTATTTCCTCTTCTATAACGTACCGACGGTCGCTAGGCGAGGCCGCTTGCACCATCTTCATCGCGTTTATCACGGTAAGTTTATCGGACCACATTTTGCAACAAGGAACCACTATTCCTGACACGTTTTAGAATCAACGTACTGATCATACGTTTACCTGTTCATATATGAATCAGTGAGTTTGAAAACACACCAACTCGGAAAAATAAATTGTTCAGGAAACACCTAAAAATGCGCAGCGGGCGAAGAAGTTAGTTTGAGAAAAACCTATTTGGTGCCAAAGGACAAGTGCTTAGAGACTTTGCAAAGCACCAAGTTGAAATCTATATCCGATGTTTGATGACAGAGAATTAAGCGTTTAAAAATTTCCGAGTTGGTGTGTTTTCGTTCTCGCCGACTTTCAGATACTGATTTTTTATAGTCCGCTCTGATAAATGTTTATTTTTCGACCTGAATAACGCTTGAATATTTATATAACTTGTTGGCACAAGGTATACTGAACCGAAAAAAGAAAACCGCAAAATCGGATGGTCACCCGTTTCCCTTGAAATGGCCAAAAATTGGTATTTCCAATGAAATACTTCGATTTTTCCCTTTTCCCGTCGCTATTTCGAGCACTTTCGATTGCAATTTCAAAATTTCCTTTTGCTTGCAGATGCTTCTATCCATAAGTGTTACTAAACCGTAAAAAAGTGAAAATCGAAAAAAACGCGAGTTGGTGTGTTTACGAACTCACTGATTCATATGTGCTTTCATGGATGAGCTAGGAATATTGGTCCCTAATTGCAAAATGTATTCCAATTCATTTAGAATGTTAGGACGTGTTCATGCTGAAAAGATCTAGGTATCCATGAATAAAATCAATAGGAACTATAAAAGCATGCAAAACTACTAACTAGTAGCATTAAACCCTATGCAAATAGTTACTTTTCATTTGATGCAATCTTAATTACTTCTTTTAGCATGAGTAGGTCGAATTATGGTAGCTCAAGGTCTATTTTTCATAGTCGTTCCTTAACCAGCTCATTCTCTTTGACATCCCCAGATAAGGAATATAAGTACTAAGGGGAGGGGATTTGAGAAGGCATCATAAAACAGTGATGCTCACAACTTTTCAATGAAAAATGGAGTATCTATTCGCGGTTGTTTTTTGGTGTCTTATGCGATGAAAAAAATCAGGGAAATTACTTACGAACACAATAAGACTGCAAATCTCAAAAACGAAACTTACCTGAAACAAACAAGACAGACAAAAAAATCAAAATTTCATATCATATAAGAGTAGAGTACTTTTCATAAGACTTTTGTCTTCACAAAAACAATCCCCAACTTATCCGTTCTAGCCTAAGTTACTTCAGGGCACTTCGTCTTCTAGATCATTAGTATGCTAAGCAGCGCTGCTCAGATGTTGTGCCTTTGTACGTGTTGCAGGCAATTAGCAATCGCCGGCAAATAGCAATCCATCACACTGGAAAAAAAAAAAAAAACACATTGGATCTAGAGTCCAGACTCTTGAAAACATTGACAAGAAAAAAGACTCTTGATTCAATCAGATTCAAGCTTAAATCAAAAGGAAATCCGCTCAAATTAAGAGGCTTGGTTCTTGATTTAAGCTTAAATCTGATTGAATCAAGAGTATTTTTTCTTGTCAATATTTTTAAGAGTCTAGACTCTAGATCCAATCTTTTTTTTTCAGTGCATTGTTAATTAAGAAAAATGGTAAAATTCAAAAGCAAATAAACACGAAAGATAGATTGGTAGTATAATTATGTTAAGAATTCAGACACACGTTTTTTCCTGCATGAATGCGTGGTACCACCCAGCACACCCTCGAGCGGGTGAGGTGGTATTTAGTGACCTAGGTTAGGTTTGGTTCCGATAGGCAACTAAACTAACTGCCTGACAAAGCGGAAAGTATCACCAAATTTGAAGGCGCTCCAAGTCGAGGTCGTGCTTCTGAGGATATTTACCAATGAAACCTTTATTACGTCGATGCGAATTGTTGCAATCTGGTAAGTTAACACGCCTCCCGCTTGCAAATTGCCGACGATTGCTGAATGCCTGCGACATATTCTCATGTGAAACAAACAAATGCATATGAGAATAGATACGAAAAAAAGAGAAAAAAACGCTGATTTTTGGAATGAAAATTCTAGTCGGGCCTTCGTATTCTCTATTTGTGATATCGGCACAAAATTGTATACCGTAAGTTATAAAGCTTGTAAGCTGCTTCTGCAAAGTATGACTCAATTATCCTGAATGAGAAATGGGCATTCAATATTCGATGAGTGCCATCAGGAATTGAGGCATTTTTCGGTAAATGGGCGTATGAGTTTCCATTGAGATCCATGGGCGATTGTTCAACGTAGTCCTCAAGTTGTAAGTAACTCATTCGGCAGTTCTGCTATGAATTTTCCCCTGAATCTACTCTGAGTTTTTCCTCAAATTTGTAAATCGACTGTGAATGAATTTCAACTTCCGCAAACACTATAAAAAATTGCAAAATCTAGGCGGCATTGCAAGCCTCATAAGCCCTTTCACTGAAAAAGGCATCTATTGCCAAGATAAAGATTGTACATTCCTGTTGAAAAATCCAAACGCCTTCACTTAAAATACTTTTTATAGGCAATTTTCTCTATATTTGAGTTCTTTTTTCATGGCAAGAATTTTCAATCTTGGGCTACTGAATTCCTGTTAAGCGAAAGAAACAGTTACAGAATCTTAGCAACGCGCCTGATAATGCTAACCAGATTTTGACTTTCCACTCTTGATATAAAAACATAAAATTTGGAACTATTCTTGGCTCATCCGTAAAATCACTTAACGGCATAGGGGAACTAATGGTTCATGCGTGATTTCAAAAGTGAGTCAACAACTTTTAATTAATTGCATGCAATTGCTTAATTATTGCAAAATTATTCTCAAATGACATCTAGCAACAGACTAAAAAGTCATTAATTCGTTCGAACATTTTTTCAGATGCCTTGTCCAACCACTTGGGTGACCACCGGGAGAAACCGTCTATCGAGGATGTTGAACTGGACCTGCGCAAGAAAGGGATTTTTGCCTACTATTTTCTTGCGACGGCTTTGCCGACAGTGAGCAGTATTATAGCCGGTGACGTGGTCTTACCACCCCCGAAGTTGGAGGACCTGGACCAAAGCCAGTATCATGAGACGATGGGCACCTATATGCAGCATTTAGGGGAGCGAGGTGGTGTTGGCACGACTGAAATTTTAGCCGACATTCTTAGGTTTATGATCGATGAAGACTTCATATTTGAGCGCTAAGGGCCAAATTGGACGGGGTTAAACAGAAAGGAACCAAGCCACATCGGGATCGAACGGAGAAAAGAGATTTAAAGTTTGGCACCTGCATAAGGTAAAAGATAAACTTCAAGTTCAATTTCTGCAAAATTTGCTCCAACAAAAACTTTGAATTTTTGGCGATAGATAGTAGAGCAGTGGCTGAGTTCAAAACCACTTATAACTCAATTTTTTTCCAAAATGTGGGTTGGTTCCTTTCGGCTTAATTCAGTTCAATTCATCGTAGTCAGAAACGCTGGGTGCTCCACAGCTCATGAAAAGACAATAAGCGAATTTTTGCGCTCGAATATCATTCATCAAACGAATTGAAGTGTGCTGAGTGATGCCAATGAACGGTGAAAGCGGGAGCCAATCAGAGTTCAGATTTTTTTTTTTTTTTAAACGAAATTAAGAAAAAAATACGAAAATACGAAACACTCATGAAACGCAACAGACTTGAAATGACAAAACACAACAACAGGGAGAAATGACGGAAAAAAAATTCTGGTGAAAGATGAAGTTTCTGGCATTGATTGCATCAATTCAAAAGTCGAATTCAAGTCCCGAGGTGTATTCGAAATTTCAAATTGATGGATTTCTACGGTCTACGATGAGACCAACGAAAGGGTCGAATATAATTTTGAAAAAATGCACAATCGTCGAATATCAACGGTGAATGATATTCGATCGCGAAAATTCGCTTATACATTTAAAATTATTAAAACAGCTGATGGCAAGGCTTGCTTGACACAAATGACCAAGAAGTTTCAGCTGGAAACGCCACAGCCTTCTTCAGTTGGATAAAAAAATATATTAAAAGAATTAAACTTTTAAGACTTCAAACTAGGTTGTACCATATTCCTTTCAAAACTAGATGAATCAATCACCATAGTCGCCTCTTTAATAGCTCCTTTTCTTGGAAGGCGCCATACGGTTAACATTGTGATTAAGGACGGTATGAGGAGATCCTTAACGTGTATAGTACCATCAAAGGGGAATTTTTTCTACCCTCGAGTAAATTTCAGTGATGAAATTCTGGAAATGGATCCTCTCAAGAGATTACAATATTTTGCCATCGCAAAAGTAGCAAAAGAAGCCAACTTATTATTCAATTTCAAAATACTCGCAATATTGTAATTTTTGTAAGAAAACTGTAAGAATACATCAATTTAAATAAAAAAAATCAAAAAATGTCAGACTTGAAAAATTGTGTTTTCTCAAAATTTCAGATGCTCTTATGGAGTCAATTTACTTCTTTGAAATGGATGGAAATTAACTTCTAAGCACAGTGACATAATTACATTTATTTCGTATTCTTGTTTGCATTATTTTTCCCCATTATTCAATCCATTTATTTATGTTTTCCGACAAAATAATAAGATAGTGGTGATTTGATTGATAGGAACCTCAAAGCCAAAACTCTACAGCTATTTTCAGTTGAAAAGTATTGGATAGGTCGAGAAAAATTTCAAAACCTGAGATAACTCTTCCGGTTTCTTGTTTCAATTAAAACAAAGAAAGGTACTTGGCAGTCAATCAAAATTTCGAGTGTGAACCACTTACCGAAAATAAAATAATCTTATTGAACCCATTACCTACCTCAACATAAAAGGATAAATTTCGGCACCAAATATTCCGCGGGTTATGATAAAATAACTTGGCAATATGCATACTTATTTAATTGTCGTAAGGTATATATGCTCTTAAAATTTAGAGATAAAATAATGGTTTGCTTTGATGCCTCGCAAATGAATGACAAAGTGGCTGATTTTCCAGTCTTTGACTGTGCGTTTACAAAGTAAGTTCTAATTAATTGTTACAATGATTTCACTTCTTTTAAAAGTTATCGATTATACTTTAATGCGCTTTTACAACAGTTTCACTAGCAGATATTTTGGCTGTTGTTTTGCTTTCGAAAAGGTGCTGCAGTTCCATCAATCATCCACAGATAGTGCTGTGTGACTAAAATTCAGTGAACTGAACCGTGGGTAAGTATGAAATGCTTGCATGTGCAGATAATTCTTTTTTTCTATTTTTGATGGAAATCAAACTAGAGGTGCGAAGAAACTTCTGGGCCACATAACAATTAAGGGGTGCGGCGATCATGATCTGTTGCGAAAATGAGAGGGTACTGATACGGGTTTCAAAAGGGATACATCTTTAAAGGGGTCATGAAAATAAGCCCGAGTCATCTTGGGGAATTTGGTGTTTTTCGCAAATTTTGTGGATATTTGTCTGTGAATGCAACAAAAGTAAGCACTTCAAACATTTTGGGATGAATAGGTGGATTTCTAAACTGGGAAGGCTGCATGAGAACTTCCTGCGTCTTAAGAATAAAACTGCCATAACCTCTGGTTAGTTTGAAATTTTTCAAATTTTCTCTTCCAAAAATCGTCGCTCCTCTGTAAGGACATATATCTCGACTTCCGCATGGGCCCCTGAAAGCATGGATTTATACGTAAAATTATATGTAAAATGGGACTCACGTATAAATTGAGATAGAAGGGCGACGATAAATGTTCGTTGTCAATGCCTCGTTTTTAACTTTTTGGGATCTAAAGATCTATGAGATCTTCATCCCGAAAACTATCTCAGTGTATCATAGATCACGATGGGATTCAAAAAAAGGCTGTAGCACACAGTCAGCGTATTTTGCAGCATGTACTTTCAGTTTCCGCGGGTTTTGCGCCTAATTGTGCCCTAAGGAGTGGCTAACAATTTTTTGCCTATCGTAATTACTGTGAAATTTTACCATGAGAATATCTGCTTACTTTGTTGTTTCTTCTACCTGCAACGGACTCATTTTATTGTAATTTGTACTTATATGATCGTGGGCTGAGCCTATAACTCATTCAATCTACCATCATTGATCTGATTTTATTTGAATTCAAGCCATTAAAAGCCCCTAGATAGCTTAAGCAGAGTCCTCGTTTCTTATGCGTAAAGAAAATTCATAAGCATTTCACGATGCAATAGTTTAGTCATGAGTTGTTGATGTGACAATTTTTCAGAGGGTCATCAGAATAAAATAAGATGTCTGCGCGCAAACCGTGGCTTTCAGGTATTTTTACGGAAGCAGTCAGAGCCAACTGTTTTGGATATGATGTGAAAACATTTGTTGACTTTGAATCTGCAAATGACAAGTCACGCACGGCTCAATTTAGCTCTGTTGTGGAGTTCGGAGAAGTCACACTGGAGAAGAAAACTTCTGAACTGGTCATTTAGCCAGTTCTCATCAAAACTCAGATCAGGTATTGGTCACATGTAGACTCTATCAATTGAATATCATTTTGGATTAAAGAATTCGTACTTCTGACTCATTTTTGAAACAATTTAAGCACCGTAAGTTTCCCTATGGAGATAAAGGCTTATATCGATGAGCCAGAGATGGAAGTACCTTATTGCTCAATGAGGTCCAATTTGATCGCATTTGGCAAAAAGGAACCACCGCGATTACAGTGTTGTAAAAATGTTGCTTCTTCATAATTATCTGAAGAATAATCTCCCGGAATAACATATGCATGGCTTTGGCTTCCCACCAAAAAATTGTTGATTTTAAAGGAAAGTAATTGTGCAAATATTAATATTGTACGTATATTCAGTACATTATTTTCGAAAGAGAAGCCGGAGAAGTTGCATGATTTTGAAAACACTGTAATCGCGCTGGTTCATTTTTGCTAAATGCGATCCAATTGTGATGTCTCCGAAGAGACCATCCTTTGCGTCAAGTTCGATCTTGGACAAATTTAACTGCACTTTGCAACGAGGGGCTACTATTCCTGGTTCATACACAAAAGCACGTATCCGCATAGGGAAACTATCGGCAGCTACGTTGTTTCTCAAAAGAGCTCGGGTGGTAGTTCCGTGTTGCAAAATGGAGGATTTTTCTGGAAAAGGACCCATAGAGAAGACTCGCGTTTGAGAAAAGAGCATTTGCAGTTTTCATAATTGAATCGGCTTCTGTTAGACGGAAGTAAGTCCAAAAATGCAAGAACCCTAGCGTCCTCCGTGACCATACGAAAGCCAGGGTTCATGAGTTTTTGGACTTACGCTTATCGACGAGAAACCGATTTTATTACATTCTGGGCATTGTCAGTGACTTACATCGGAACGTTCGTCCAGATCCTACTCATCTAATGTAAACAAACTAGGTGGTTCCATTACTACAGCAATAAAATTCGCCTAATGATGGCTGATGAATGTTAGGTAGAACATTTTGCCAGGCGAGTTTTTTCAAATTGGGTTGGGATTGCTAAACCAATCGCTCAACTTTTGAGGCATCTGTAGACTATATCGATGGCTAAAGTGCAAAGTGCATCTTCGTTTGCGACATTGCAGACTTCCAGTCATAATGTATTCCTTTCTTGGAAAACTAGTCAACTTAATTTCATGAAAAGTTCCTTGATTTTTTTCCCCGATAGAAGTTAAAAATTCTATATAAATTTCAAGCCATAAAGTTGACTGGTTCCGCTTCGTAAAAATAAACAAGAAGCGGAGATTTTGAAACAGCGCGATGAAGATACCCGGTGTCGCACTTTGGCCATCGATACGGATAATATCCGCACAAGGGTCTCTCTAGATCATGCTTTATGTCACTGATTGACATCATCATGTTTCGTTACAAAACGTTTAAAAAACAAAATGACCTCGAATTGTTACCGACATGTTCGTTTTTTAATTCCTACAGGGCGGTGTACCCCCCTCCAGCAACATCCATCGACATGTTCCACAACGAGGTGTTGTTCTACACGAAAGTCCTGCCTTTGCTCCGAAGGTACGACACATGCAACGTCCTGTCCACGAGTTTCCCGGAAATAGTGTACGGAAAAGCGGTCGGGAAACCTGAGGAGGACATCGTTGTGCTGAAGGATCTCCGCCAAAAAGGATTCCAGCCGTGCGTCGATCCTGAGAGTTTGGACGAACGACACATCGAGTTAGTTTTGGATCGATTGGGCAAATTTCACGCATTATCTATCATATGTAAATTGGAGGATCCGATTGGATTTGAAAAGGTGGCGTCACAGATGAGAGAGCTCGATTACGCAGAAGCAGTGTCGGCATTCGGAGGCTTTCTTACCAAAGAGGTGAGATTTTTATCAACACAGCGAGTCCCGTTTTTATGTGGAAAACTTGCGATGCATTGATATGTCGCAGGCAATCGGCTACACTGAAAAAAAATCTCGGCGGTGTATTTACTAAGAAAAGGGTAAAATTACCAAGAATTCAGGGTTCTATTTGATCCCAGTTTTTTCCTGGTAAAATTACCATTTATGGTATTGGTAATTTTACCAAGAAATCTCGGTAAAATTATTGACTTTCTCGGTAATTTTACTGGACCCCGGTAAAAACGCCAATATTTTTTATCGACTGTGGTAGAATTATCGAGATAAAATGACAAAGTTACCGAGAATTGATTAATAATACAAGCGGTACTCTAACCTGAAAAAAAAACAGTAAAAATACCGGCTTTTAGGTAAGTTTACCAGTCTGTCTTGGTAAAATTACCAATAATTGGTAAAAAAGTGAGATGGTAAAGGTACCAACGGACCTTGGTAAAAACGCCGAGAATTTTTTTTCAGTGTACTAGACAAGGTACGAATTTCAGCATTCTGATTTATGTTTCTCAACCAAAATTTCACGGAAAACACGATGCGCACAACAAAAATTGACGAAATCAACTCCTTACGAAGATATTTAATGATTCTTGATGCGTGAATTCAAACCATCCACTCATGAAAACTCAATGTTCTACGTGATTCACATCGCGCGCTAAACGTTATCATGACAGTCCCTGCTATATAAAAAGCTGGCAACGTCGATCTTGACGCTTTGGCTCGGTTATATCAAATTGCTTATAGCTTGAGCAACACATGGTGGGAAATGAACATTGCTCGATTGAAAAGCTTGCTGAAACCGTTGTATTGCTCGATTTGACTCACGTAGAGCTTTGAGTCTCTTGTGAGCGGGCAGTTCAAATTCTTCGTAACCGGTGTGAAATAAAAACGTTAGTATCTTCGTTAGGAGTTGGTTTCAGTCATTTTCGTTGCGCAAATCGTGTTCTATGTGAAATTCTGGTTTAGGAACATGTATCAGATTGCTTAAATTCGTACTTTTTCTAGTGGTCCATTAGCAATCGCCGGCAATTTTCAAGCGGTTCACATGTTGTTTCAATAAATCGCAATAATGCGCATCGGCATAGTGCGATGTTGAAGGGTGATAATCTAAAAAATCATCTAAAAGCATAACATACAGTTTTCACAGCTTTATTTATTTTAAAAATGAACCCCCCCAAAATGCCTACACATCGATGAGCTGGTGCGCCATTTAGACGCTTTAGCACTAGTATACTAGTACTCAGAGGCAAGTCGAAATCAAAAAGCGCTGTCTATCGGCTGAGCGCTTAAAACAAAATACTAACATTCACGAGTGGGTCCGGTGAACGCTCTCCAACGTCCACATGTTTAAATCAAACTCTTGTTTATTCTTCACATGGATGATTATAACTTTGGTAGCACTTTGTCCACTCTCAACTTGCGCGAACAGAAAATTTTCAAAGTTTTCAAAATTTTGATGACGCTTGAATTTGGATACAAATTAGCTAACAGTTCTCCTACAAAAGTGAGGAAACTCGCAAATAAACCTATGATGAGCCCAATGAAAGCTGACTGCAAATCGTTTAGATCATATGGCTTCGGCTCAGCATCTTCTACATCTGTTCCCTCCGATGAAAATCCAATTGCGTAGGCCTCATAATTCTCTACCGTTCTTCTCGTGTGCCCAGTTTCTAGATTTTGATAAATTATTCGATTCAATTTATCATAGAGAAAAGAATTTTTCAAGAAAGGAATCATTACAGGATACGTAATCAGGCACTCTTGCATTAGATGATACTCAGTTTCAACTTCAAATCCATGCCTCATAAGAACATTTTCTTTACGGATGGAAGAGAATGGTACACTGATCATTGCAGCATCCATCGCAGCCATCGAAAGGATATTCTTTCTAATATCCACAATGCGATTTTTAATGAAATTAGATTCTGCGGATGACTCATTATCTCCCGAGAGACTTAAATACTTCAGAACGAATTCTCCAAAGAATTCGGCCTCAGTGTAATCGCACAGATTACTCACCAATTTGGCACTTAGCACCTTAGATTGGTTTTGTTGATACAACATTTCCTGTTCCAATTCAAGATCATTGGAAAGTATTTGAATCAGCAGTTCTGATTCTTCCAAGGTTTTCAATGATCAATTTCCGGATACTGAACTCTCTTGCTAAGAAGCGTTGTCATGCAACCCAAAAATGCATTCGTTATGATGATTGCAGAAAAACTGAAAATCACGAAGAGGGCTTTTCAAGTCGAAAGATGGCCCAGGTGTAGGTTTCCTGGGCTACCACACATGAAGTACGCGTAAACAGTTAACAGAGGAGATGAGTTTCTGTAAAATTCAACTTCTGCGTCTGGGTAGAAGAAGTAGAATACTCTGCATTGTAAATAATGGAAAGTGCCCAGAATGATCCAGAAACAAACAATCGTGATGACAATGAGTGTCCATACGAGTGGCGAAAAGCTTTTGAAAATCACCAGACCTTGTGACATAAAACCACTATGTGGAGTTGCAAAGCACAGAGATCTCGTATCAACACTGACTGAAAAATCATACTTGGAGTAATTTGCTCCTTCTACATTTAGTCCATACTCAAACGGCTGCAAATCTATGTCGAATTTCAAGCCTGCTTCAGTACCGTGACTTTTGAATTGATCTGCCATGTAGTTCGTGCGTTGGTACCGCAATGTGCAATTTAAAGCTCGTTCGAAGTCATTCAATACTGCCTCGTACGATGCAACCCAAGTGGACGAGGATGAAGACAAAAATTTATATTCTTGAGTGTCTCCTGAGGTGTAGAATGTGGTGATTGATTTCCTGTGCATATCGCTCCAAGAGAAGACGAAGAAATTTTGATTGGTCTCTAGCTCAGTTGAGATGAGTTTTTCCATGAAGGGATTATATCTTTCACAACCATGCGAGTGGCAAATGACTGATCTTATTCCTCTGAAGAAGCGCCAAAAGAATTTGAAACAGAACAGCAGGCTGGCGACCGGGTCTGTATCCACAGTGTACTTTTCCAGTCCATTCCCTATTCCAGAATTCCTGGATTTTAATAGTTTTGTATAAGTCGGGTGGCTGTAAATCCCATCAAAATCTTTTAAGATGAAAATTAGATAATTCTTAGAATTCCAAATTTTGTTAATGTACAAACCTCGTGTTGCATTAAATACTCGATCGCTTAGAATCGAGTTTGGCTCTAATTCGGCTGATGACAGTCTCAACTTTTTACTGCATGTTTCGTCCCCTTGCGTCCAAAGAGGACGTCCATCTACTGTCACGCAATACGCAGGTAAAATACCCTTCGACTGATGTTCTTTTCTGATTTTATCGTATTCGCGATTGATCGTGTTCTCGCCGTTTACGTCTGAGAGTCTTGGGTATGAGATTGTATAAAAAATTAAGCTCATCAGCTCTCTCATGTCTTTGAGGAGGAATATGATATTCTTGCCATGATCGGTATTGACAGCGTTTGTCAAGTGACTGTGGTGGGATATCAAAACGGTTTTAATGGAAGCTTCATGCAAGCGTTGATTGAAGTGCTCGAAAGAGGGTTCGGAATGCAAACCGTCCTCGTAAATGTAAAATAATTCTTGTTTCGATTCCTCGACTATGCTTCGACATGCGTTGAAAGCTGCTGAAGTTAATGACTCCCATTCGCTCTCCGGAGATAGCGCCAAAATCTGGTTGGTTTGCGGACCAAGGAAAATCAGACCAACGTGGAGGAAAAATAAAAGAGAACACACATGCATTATTCGGGAGCGAATATCACGCCTTGCCGTACTGCAAAACCAAAGGTAGGACAAATCAGTTTTTAATAGATGTTCTATCCGTGTTTTTTACGCGGAATTTTCCATCCTGATACATTGCTTTAAGAGTCGATTTCCTGGAATAAGAATATAGTGTAATCGCTTACCATGTTAATTTCCCTCACTGAAAACAATACATTTTAATAAGTAAAAACCCACGCTTTGCAAGATTTTCACGATCGTTACTTACATATGAATGAGATTCAATTCTTATTTAAGTCAACCAAGTTACCTTGAATACCGTATTAGCCGCCTCTAAAACCTGCAAAACAAACTTCTGTTGAGGTTTGTTAAGCACTTGAAAAATTGCAGCAAGGGCAAATGTTTTCCCTATATTTTCATGTTTAATAATTGAGCTGTTATCGGGATTGTACCCTATTTGAAATTCTATTCAAGGTCTCATTTCTGTAAAATCAATCTATGTTGCCGTAAGGATGAACGCAGAACGCCGTACGAACATTCGAGAGTTGCCAAATTTCCTTCAATACAAGGTTTATCTTTGAGGAAAGTTATAAATATTTTTCCTTGAAATTTTCAGGAGCTTTAGGTTAAATCGCGAACATAATTACTTGAAAAATTGGAAGAAATATATTCATAAGTTTACTAGGCAATTCGCGTTTTATCAAAGGAAATGTGGCAACGCCTGAGGGTTCATACGGCGTTCTTCCTTAGCGCGGGAGTGTGGCCAGGCTACAAAGGGACCCGCGTTGGTAATATGGCGTATCCAATAGTAGTTCGATGTATCGTTTGGTTCAAAGCAATAGAACATAACTTCAAACCAAAATTTTAGGATATAAGTCAGAGAAGCTGAAAATGACCGTAGCAATTTTACTACTCTTGGCCAATTAGTACTCCCAATATGGATTGCATACGAATCAAAAATCTATCACATAAAACCCGTTCCGTCAGATCACTCAATTCAATTTTGAGGCTATTTTCCTGTTTTGAACCAATCGATATTGATATGTCGCAGACAATTATAGCAATCGCCGGCAATTTGCAAGCGGTTCGCAATTTGTTTCAATAAATCGCAATAATGCGCATCGGTATAATGCAATTTTTAAGGGTTATGGTCTTCAAAAGTATGAGCTCGGCTTGAAGCGCCTTCATTTTTTGTGATACTCAACGCTTTGTCACGATGTTTGTTTAGTTGTCTGTCCGATCTCAACCCAACTAATGTCACGGAGTTCACCGTACGATCCTCGGAGTGTGCATATTCCTTCCATGCTTTGAAGGATGGAAAAGTGTCTATTCACATTATAGACAACATAATCACCGCTCTAATATTGTTCTTTCAATTTTGAATTTTATGATTTTCTATATTTGATTACCACTGGCTTCTTAATTGCCGGCGATTGCCAATTGCTTGCGACAGATCTATAGTCATGATTTCACTGCCGTTTCTTTGCGACGAAATTGCCACGATCATTTGGAGTGTCAGTCATCTGGAGTCTAAAGGGATTGTCAAACATCTGGGGTCCAGAATGTCACAAATGGCCAATAAATCCATAAAAAGGAGGTACACTGATTTGCGACTACCAAAAATAAAAATACGAAGGAAAAAATCCGAATTTTTCAAAGGGCGATATTTCGATTAATACTGAACGTAGAAAGTTGCTGTTGAAACAGATCTTACTATTTTTGGCTAATCTACAAGGATCATGCATCAAAACACGATCCTGTGACCAGCGCAACTGACCAATTTACCTTGATGACGATGCACAAGCACACCCCCGTTTGAAATGGAGCTGTTAAAGGAACGATCATGGCTACGATCCTTATCGCCTTTGTTCTTAGACGTATGTTATGTCTCAGGCTTTCAGAGAGGGCATTTTCCGAGGAATCGAATCATTGCAAAATGCACCCGAGTATTAAGGAAGGCTGACAGATCTTCGTGCAAACTGCAGTAGGGCCCACGATCTGATGAACGAGTACATGTACGGCTCTCGTGATTCGGGCGTCATATTTCACGGTGATTTTCGGCTGGACAACATGATGTTCAAGTACCAGTCCGACGGGACACCCATCGAAGTTGTGTTCTTCGACTTCCAGACGATCTCCATCGGCTCGCCGGCGATCGATATCTGTCGTTTCATGATCTTCGAGGCCCCCACGGAATTAAGGCGCGCTAGCTGGGAGACTTTTTGGCGTGTTTATCATGGTAAGTTTGGGGCAGAGACAGAGAGAGACTCGCCTTTTTGAACCTCTTAGCGGTGGGTGGAAATTTTTACTTTTCTTAATGGGCATTCGGACTGCGTTTTACAATCAGGATCTACAATTCTCGGATCAGTTTAGAGACGTCGCATGGTCCATTAATTTCCCCACGTACATAAGTCTATTTACGGATGTGTCAGAAAATGTAGTGCAATTATAAGGCAGTAACAGTTATCACCCTTTTTACGCACTAGAAAAGAAAGCACATTCGATCTAGAGCCCAGACTCTTAAAAACATCGACAAGAAAAAATACTCTTGATTCAATCAGATTTAAGCTTAAATCAAGAACCAAGCCTCTTAATTTGAGCGGATTTCCTTCTGATTTAAGCTTAAATCTGATCGAATCGAGAGTATTTTTTCTTGTCAATGTTTTCAAGAGTCTGGACTCTAGATCCAATGGTTATAAGAAATTTCGTCAACGATGTTTTGTCCGCGCAATTGTTTTTTCCAGTAATTTACGTCCACGCGTTTTTTCGGCACGGGAGTTTTGATCCATGTGCCAGTTGAGACCCACAGTTAATTGGCCCACATGTAAATACAAACGACAATTTATTGTTCACGACGTTTTTGGATGAAAATACAGGGTGTCCCTAAAGTCCGTACCCCCCCTCGTAACTTTTGAACGGTTAGAGATAGAAAAACGAAACTTTGGGAATGTTTCTATCTTAAAGGGGTCCATCTTCTAGGGGGGGTCAAAATTTTTGTCCCCCCCTCAGGGGGGGCGCGGGGGCCCCCAACTTTTTTTTTCAAATGGTAACCCCTATCTTGTGATACATCATTAGAAAGAGCATAAAAAACTAAGAATTTTGGCGCAAACCGCAAATCAATATCTTAATTTTTGACCGAGTTATGATAGGTCAAAGGTCAAATTTGACCTATTTTCAAAAAATCATATCTCCGGTTCAAATTATCGTAAAGAAAAAAGTAAAACGGGAAAATTTACCAAATTGTAAGCACTTTCAAGTAATAATCACAGAAATTACTTCAAACTAATTTTAAAGGGGGTTTCGGACCCCCAAAAACGTCATTTTAAAGGTCATACGATATTCTCGCGAAATGAGCCAATTTCTCCTTACTTTTCCTCAACATTATCTTAGTAAGTTCAAAATTAGTTCAAAATTGCGTTTTCAAGTCCCCAAATTTCGAGCAAAGTTCAAAAAACGAAATTTAAGGTAATTCAATTCAACCATTTAAATTTCATTTTTTTTAAACTTTGTTCAAAATTTGGGGACTTGAAAACGCAATTTTGAACTAATTTTGAACTTACAAAGATAATGTTGGGGAAAAGTAAGGAGAAATTGGCTCATTTCGCAAGAATATCGTATGACCTTTAAAATGACGTTTTTGGGGGTCCAAAACCCCCCTTAAAATTAGTTTGAAGTAGTTTCTGTGATTATTACTCAAAGTGCTTACAATTTGGTAAATTTTCCCGTTTTATTTTTTTCTTTACGATAATTTGAACCGGAGATATGATTTTTTGAAAATAGGTCAAATTTGACCTTTGACCTATCATAACTCGGTCAAAAATTAAGATATTGATTTGCGGTTTGCGCCAAAATTCTTAGTTTTTTATGCTCTTTCTAATGATGTATCACAAGATAGGGGTTACCTTTTGAAAAAAAAAGTTGGGGGCCCCCGCGCCCCCCCTGAGGGGGGGACAAAAATTTTGACCCCCCCTAGAAGATGGACCCCTTTAAGATAGAAACATTCCCAAAGTTTCGTTTTTCTATCTCTAACCGTTCAAAAGTTACGAGGGGGGGTACGGACTTTTGGGACACCCTGTATAAAATTTCCTGGAAGAATGAGGGTTTGCTTGTTTTTTTTTGTTTTGTTTGGGCTGTTTGGTCCAACGGAGGACAATATATAGTTGAGAGTTTTGGTAAAAATGGGGGAGCGTCAATTCCATGAGACAAAATTCACTAAAACTCTCTACACCTTTTTGGTGTAACAGGACTTGATTATCTTTCAAAAAATTCCCACCTGAAACCATTATACCTGAATCGGATGGACCTCTATATTTGCCTCAGCTAAAAGCTCTTAGATTTTTCCTGTGTACGATAAGTATCTTGATTTATTTTGCGGGGAAAGATCTGTACTTTTAAAAGATGCCTGTCATTCTTAATACGTTCCATTTCGTATAATACTGTGCAATCTCTGTTGTGAAATAGTTGCTTCAGGCGCCGCTGCACGGCGGGCGGGCGGCCAGCTCAAAACGCGCATTGGCGCCTACAAACCTAAGCGGATACTTCAAGCATTGTGCAATGCGAGAAGTATCCACTTAGGTTTGTAGGCGCTAGTGAGCCTCTCGCCCTGGCAGCACGCCGCGCTGCTCCGCTCTGTTTTAGGCTTTAATATTTATACTCGCATAGTCAGCATGACGCATAGACAATTTTTTCCGGTTTCCATGGCAGGAGTTAGACATGTCGTACAAAAAAAAAATAAACAGTCAAACACAAACCCACCGCGACAAAACTTGTGATAGTTTATCTCCTCTTTACCTTTGTCACAATATGATCTATGAATTAACTACATTTAGCAATCAGAAACTAATATTTTTGACTCAATTTAAAGACGACGTACAGTCCATAAGTTTCGTCATGAAAGTAGGCGCTTTAATGGACGAGTCATTAGTTCCTACTTTTAGTATAGCCTAAAGGATCTACAAATTTGCGTTGATTCTTTCAGATGCACTGGCGAATCAGATGAGGGACTACCAAAACGCAATACCAACCATCGAGGCTGTTGAATTGGATGTACGCAAAAAAGGGATATTCGCTTATTACGTGTACGCACTGGCCTGGCCGAATTTATTCAGTGACACAAAGGGCCTCGGCTGCATTTCATGCCCAAAGTTTAAGGGCTTAAACGAGCAAGAGGTGCAAGAGACAATGAAGACCTACATGCGAAATATACGGGAATGGGGTGGCCCCAAAGTCACCGAGATGTTGGCGGAGGCAGTTCGGTTTATGATCGATAAAAATTTCATTTTTGAGTATTAAGATCCATATAACCATATTATGTAAAAAAATAAAAAAAATAAAAACAATACCAAACTTGAAAAGCAATTTTTGATACCTACACTGTCGTGCTAAATTGGGAAAATTGTGAATATTATTCTCTCAAATTTTGAGACAATTTTGTGCACAATTTTATCTGAAATATCTGAAAATTTCAAGGAAAAATATGCATGAATTTTGTCAAAAATACAGGTTTTAGTAAGGGAAATTTGGCAACTCCCGAATGTTCATACGGCTTTCTTCCTTAGCACGGCAGTATGTACAGTGCACCGGCACCTGCACCTGAGCTTTCAAATGCTCTCAAGAAGTCGACTTGTTCATTCTGAATAGATCATGATTAAGTCCTCTCTCAAAGTGAAGACATGATAATATTTAAATTAATTCATAATTAATTGATTTAATTTATTGCCTGAGCTTTATTTTTTTATAATTTACAAGTATCTCTAGAATGCGGTAAGCTTTGATTTCTGAGGAATGCTCAAAGAAATGATTAAGCACATCCACGTCGAGGTATTCCAGTTTTTAGTACCATGAGAGGATAGGCATCCACGGCTGTCAAATAAAATTTCAATTGGAGCCACTTGGAAAAAATAAAACAATCTTTTTAAATTTGCTCCCTACTTCAACAAAGAAAGATATCGGGGTCAAATCATGTGCGGGCGTTACTGAAAATAACTTATCGATGGTCTTACACATTCTATTTTTTATTGTAAAGGCGTGTGCTCTCAAAATTCAAAGATAAAAATGATGGTTCGATCTGATGTCTCGTGGATTGGCTGAGTTAGCGGCTACTATGTAAGTTCTTAACGGTATATGCGTTTAACGAGTAAAGCCTACCGCGCTGTTTAAACTTCCTTTCTCTTCTCTAAATTTTGGCGATTAGATTTTAGTGCGCTTTTGGAATTGGGAGTGCCTCATTTTTAACTCGTTTTGCTTACTTTTTATTAAAAATTAAATAAAAGAATGTGTTATTGCGTTATCAGCGCACGCTTATCACTCCGCTCGAGCTCGAGTAGAGTGATAAGCGTGCGCTGATGACGCAATAACACATACTTTTGTTTAATTTTTAATTTTATATTTTTCGACAAGTTCGCGTATTCGCGAGTGGCAAGTGTGACCTGAGGATGGACCAGCAGAAAGGTCCGAAATGATCATCGTCATCTTATAAAAAATCAGGACCGAAGAATAAAAAGTAAGCAAAACAAGTTAACGTTTTCACCTGATAAAGAAATGAACCCAGCCTGCCTCGTTTTTTTTTTTTTTTTTTTTTTTTTTTTTTTTTTTTTTTGATAAAGGTGCTACTGTCCCATTAATCATCCACAGACGGTGAGCGACAAAAACAGAGTGAAGTGGACGGTAAGTAAGTAAGCCCAAAAATTGAAATACCAACAAGAGCAGATGATTGAAATGCAAGTCTAAAGATGCTATTTAGGATAACAGGATTTAGAATCGAAGTTGTGTTGAGTGCGAACATTCAATGAAGGATAATGTATATATCTATGCCATTTGATACTGATGGGACTGAAAGTAGATGTGCAAACGGAAACTTTTCTATCCCGGAACCAGCGAGAGGCAATACGTCACTTGCAGAAATTAAAAGACTCAAAAAACGGGTTTCAAATGGGAATGTCACAAAAGTGGGTGATGGAAATGTAGGAGCCAGTAAAAGCCAGTTCCTTGGATCCTTTCCTTGAATAAAGTATGAATTTATAAGGGTATTTGTGAAGATTTTTCCTCCAATGTCTCAGAGAATTTCGTTTGCAGCCAGATCTAAATTATATGAAAATCTCAAGAGAAAATATTCACAACTCTCACAAACATTTTCTTGGGGGGAAATTTGGCAACTCTCGAAAATTCATACGGCGTTTTTCCTTAGCACGGCAACATTGATAGCTCGACTTTGAATTTTTGCGATAGAATTTTTCAGGGAGTCATCTGGATAAGACAAGATGGCTGCACGTGAACGATTGATTTCTGAAATTTTTACGGACGCAACAAGAGCCGGCGGTTTCGGAGACGATGTTGAAAAATTCGTTAGTTTCAAATCTGCGAACGACAAGGCGGGAAACGCTCAATATGCTTCTGCTGTGGAGTTCGGAGAAATCACGCTGGAAAAGAAAAATTCCGAACTCGATGTTCAACCCGTTTTCATCAAAACTCAGATCAGGTATTCTTTGGGCCTCCGTTGTGCCACAGACCAATAAAACTGCATTTGGACCGCGTTTGGCAGTAAGAAACTAAGTAGCATAGGATATTACAAAATTTAATGGTGCAATTTAATTATTTACAAGAGAATGTTTGTGCGGATCCCTTTGAAAATTTTAAGGAATTTGAATCGTATTATGCAGAAATTTTTTTGAAAAAAATCTGCACAACCGTCTTCATGTAAAAAAGTACATTGCCCAATTGAATTTGGCAATAGCTGACGTGGCTTGGTTCCTTTCTGCTGAATGCGGTCCATTTAGCATTGAGGAATTACTGGTTCCAAAGCTACTTAACAACATCACCTATCTGATACAGTGCACTGAAAAAAAAGGATTGCTAATTCACCGATTTCGGGTGGAGCAAAATTTGCTTCACTTCGTAAAGCTTTCTTATCCGTGCACGGTGTTGAATCAAGTGAACGACTAACACGAATTGCAACACCGATTTGCTACATTTGCGCGCCTTCATGCAGTTAATCTTGCATCGAGTGGCTTGGAAGTGTAACTGGTATTTTTGGTATTGGTACTTTGCGAACAGTTAAAATAGCTCAATAGTTAGGCTGAAATAGCGGAATTTACGGAAAAATAGCGAAATTTACGGAAGAATAACTAAAAAGGTAACAGACGTAGCTTTTCAGTGTAGCAAAATCACCTACACGCGTGTGTGTAAGTTAGCTGAAATTTGTGTAGCGATTTTTCCTGCATGGTTTGCACGTTCGTTTTTTAGCTACACCATGCAGTTGAAATACCCGCGTACACGGCAATTTCAGCAATATTTTCTTTTCAGTGGTCTTGCAACAAAGAAAGAAAGAAAAAAAAAAATGCGGCAAAAATGTACCCAAAGACGGTTTGCAGGGGGTGAGTCTAATAAGGTGCGTGTGGACACAAAATCGCGAACAAATTGGCTGATCCTAATTTTGAGATATTGAAATTTGATCTTTTCATAGTAAATGCAAGTTTTTAATTGATTTTGATCCGCTTTTTTATTTTTTTGTTCATTGAATCGGTGTTGATCGGTTCACTTTTTTATATTTTGTTCGATTCATGTCGATCGAATATATACCCTCTCGTTACATGCAGACTACCTATCACATTATTTATATAAACTGAACAATTCGCCTTCTGCTGCGTGTGCAGCAATTGTTTTTGCGAATATGTTGTGCGTGCTGATTTCAGTTCATTACATACTCAACTCTCTGAAGGCGTTTTATGTGCGCAAGTACCGCAATCTGTCAGAGAACGAACGAAGTAGGGATTGAGCGATCCGTATAATCTCATTCCTGTTGTTCTCCGACAGATCGCGCTACTTGCGCACATAAAACGCCTTCAGAGAGTCGAGTATGTAATGAACTATAATCAGCACGCACAACATATTCGTAACAACACTTGCTGCAGACGCAGCAGAGGGCGAATCATACAGTTTGAAGGAAGAGAGTATGGTAGATAGTCTGCATGTAACGAGAGGGGATGTATTCGATCGACATAAATCGAACGAAAAACAAAATCGTGAACCGCACAACACCGATTCAGTCATGGACAATTAAATATAACCGCGGATCAAAATCAGTATAAAACTTTCACCTCGATGGTGCTGATCTTTTTCGGTGCACTTAAAAACGCGCCCCCATAGAAAACAGCTGAGCGCCTCTCTAATACGAGCGAATGGAGATGTTGCATGTGTGAGGAATTTGCGATTTGACTGTTGATTCTTATGTAAAAGTTCGCGAGAAACACGATGGTGCCAGTGGTTTTCTCTGAAATCAACTCCCAAGCTCAAAAAAAGCTCTCAAGTTGAGGCCAAAATGGAGGGGATATCCCACCATACCCTGAGAGTCCACCTCTACATCAAGACAAACTCTCCATGCAAAGATAGGAGCAAATACATTGACAGGGCTGCCACTTTATTTGGGTACTCTAAAACTAAGAACAAGGCATCACTGTTAGTGTATTTGCTCCCTATCTTTGCATGGAGAGTTTGTCTTGATGACGAGGTGGACTCTCAGGAGAGCGTGGGATATCCCCTCCAATTTGGCCTCAACTTGAGAGCTTTCATTTAGCTTGGGAATTGATTTCGGAGAAAACCAGTAGCACCATCGTTTTTCTCGCGAACTTTTACATAAGAATCAACAGTCAAATCGCAAATTCCTCACACATATAACATTTCCATTAGAGCTTGCCCGCTTGTTTTAATTGTTGCAGGGCCGTGTACCTCTCTCCACCAACATCCGACGACATGTTCCACAACGAGGTGTTGTTTTTTACGAAGATCGTGCCTTTGCTTCGAAAGCACGACACATGCAACGTCCTGTCGACGAGTTTCCCGGAATTAGTGTACGGGAAAGCGGTCGGGAATTCTGAGGAGGACATCGTTGTCCTGAAGGATCTCCGCCAAAAAGGATTCCAGCCGTGCGTTCATCGAGAGCGCTTGGACGAACGGCACATCGAGTTGGTTTTGGATCGATTGGGCAAATTTCACGCATTGTCTTTCACATGTAGACTGGAGGATCCGATGGGATTTGAAGAGGTGGCGTCACAGATGAGAGAGCTTGATCACGCAAAAACAGCGACGGCGTTTGGTGGTTTTGTTTCCAAAGAGGTATGGTTTTCATCGACACCAAAACTCCCATTTTTAGGCGGGAAAACTTTCGATCCATTGAGATGAATTTATGACTGCACGTTAGAAATTGGTCCTTGGGGTTAAGCAGAGAGATTCAAAATTGATTTAACACTGCAAAAAATATGAGGTACGGAAGCAAATTCAGCAAGATACTTTCTTAATTCCTCGATGTCTCAGAGAAATCGAAGCATGACATAACAAAAACTGTCCTGAGCAACATTTTAGGTTTGGCTCGCACCAAATGCAAAAGAACAAATAGCCCAAAGAGACTGTAAGAACGGAGATTTCTTAATGTGGATGGGTCCGTGAAAAGGAGCTCAAAACTCATTTGCTACTGCTAAATTTACGAAGTATAAAAATAGTATCTCGCGAGATCAGTAAATTTTATTAGGTAGGTGCGAACCTTCCTTAACCTTTGTCGAAATTAGAAGACTATTTTCGTCGTACTTCACACTTCTCGCGGTAGCGGAACATTGCATTGCGATTCCTCTGGGAAACTCTTTTCTAAAGTATATTGCTGCCCTGGTGAAAATCGGCAGTAAAATCTGTGTTCCAAAATACCATAGACCTACAGCCGGCTGTAAGATTTCCAATAGCTTCTGTAGTCGGCAACACAATTTCTTACAGCCTTTTATAGCCGATGGCAATTAAGCAACAGCCTAGCGATAAAGTGTATGCTAAACGTTACTAGTTACGGATGCTAGGACTTCGTGAGTTTTTGGACTACCGCTCTCTTTTTGGGCCGTAGTATCTTGATTTATTTTACGAGGAAAGCTCCGTACTTTTGAAGGGTTCCTGCCTTTTCTAATATGTTGGAGCGCCTTCAGTCTCGCATGATACTGTGCAATACCTCTGGCTGGGGTGAAATAGTTGCTTCAAGCGCCGTGGCACACTGCGGCGCGGCAGGCGGGCAGCCAGCGCGAAACGCGCATTGGCGCCTACAAACCTAAAAGGGATACTTCACGCATTGCGCAGTGCGTGAAGTATCCCTGTTAGGTTTGTAGGCGCCAGTGCGCCGCCGCTCCGCTTTGTGTTGGGGTCTAATATGTAATCTCGTGGAGTCAGCGTTTTCAACTCATGACTTTGAAATGTTTGCACACTCTGTATGGATTATTCTCATTTTAATTGATGAAAAAAATATGTAGTAAAGGAAAATATAATGTGCATTTTGTAAATATTAAGGTGATTCCGTACAAACTCAAGGATGTACAAAGCACACGAATTTCTACACAATTTCTTATAGCCTTTTATAGCCGATGGCGAAAAAGCAACAGCCAGGCAATAAAGTGTAAAGCTCAGCGATAGGAACTATAGCCCGGCTGTATAATTTTTTATCGCTTCGTGTAGCCCGGCTGTATGATTTTATCCACTTTCTACAGCCAGCTATATGATTTTCTATCGCCTTCTTCAGTCGGCTATAAGAACTCCTATGGTATTTTGAAACGCAGCTCCTATCGACAATTTTTACCAAGGTGAATTTTACTCGAGGTTTGGAAAAAATGTTCTCTTTATGATGTCATTTTGAAAGCTGCCTTAAACCTCTTAAGCACAATGTACACATAATGGAGTGCCGCCTTTGTTCTTAATCGTACCGTTTCTGCTAAACGAAACCAGAGACAGGTGGGAAAGAAGGGGTATGCTCGTTAATGGAGGGCCGTAAGAGTGAATGTGAATCATAAAGCGCCAGTGACGTAGGCTGCGAAGACCGAGTCGAAAATCTGTGGAACCGAGTCTTCAACTCACGGGCCCTGTCCACAATGGAGATGTTGCATGTGTGAGGAATTTGCGATTTGACTGTTGATTCTTATGTAAAAGTTCGCGAGAAACACGATTGTGCCACTGGTTTTCTCTGAAATCAACTCCCAAGCTCAAAAAAAGCTCTCAAGTTGAGGCCAAAATGGAGGGGATAACCCACGCTATCCTGAGAGTCCACCTCTACATCAAAACAAACTTTCCATGCAAAGATAGGGATCAAATACATTAGCAGGGTTGCCGTGTTTTCAGTTTTAGAGTCGCCAAATAAAGTGGCAGCCCTGTCGATGTATTTGCTCCCTATTTTTGTATGGAGAGTTTGTTTTGATGTAGAGGTGGACTCTCAGGGTAGAGTGGGATATCCCCCCCCCCATTTTGGCCTCAACTTGAGAGCTTTTATTGAGCTTGGGAGTTGATTTCAGAGAAAACCAGTGGCACCATCGTGTTTCTCGCGAACTTTTACACAAGAATCAACAGTCAAATCGCAAATGCCTCACACATGCAACATCTCCATTCTTTTGTCACATGCCCACGGCTCATTAGTTAGCATACGATTGGCGCTTAGTCTCGTTCGACTGAATGTTAAGTCCCACTTTTCCATTTGTATAAGTTCCTTATGAACTTAGGCAGCTCCCCTAGGCAGCAACACGAGCACCCCTATCTTTTCCACTTGTTTATACTTCCGTTTAGAAAGGATATGGCCAGTTGTGTATGTCGCAGGAAATTTGCAAGCGGTTCACACGCACGTTGTTTCAATAAATCGCAATAGTGCGCATCGACATAATGATTCGCATAGCTCCATATTAATGCAATTTTTTGGTTATTATATCGAACAAAATATTACTCTCGATCGAGTCATTAGACGCATGTATTCACTCCAAACACGGAGAAAAATTAAATTGCTGTTTTAACAATTTTGTAGTTAAAAAAAGTGTCAGACATGTGTCAATGTAGATTTTACAATAAAAAAAATGATACTTTAAGCACCCTTACTATTGTAAAATGTTCATTTGAAACAAGTCGGACAAATTTTTTTAACAACTTAATTACTTATCAGCAATCCATTGTTTTCCTTGAACCCACGCCCTCTTTGTGTAGATCTCCGCAAAATTCAATGTCAGTTTACCGCCAAGATTTACGGAGGCTCCTGTTGAAGTTTCCCCTGAGGTTGTAATAATTTTTACGATGGCGCTGTAAATCCTCCTTTAATTTTTCATCTTTCCTCGAAGATACCTTTTTCATTTCCGCCTCCGTTGCTGCGCGCCCTACTTACGCCTCGCTTACAGAAATAATATATTTAAGGTACTCCGCAATACTATCTGTACAATCGTACAGATTTTCAACAAAAAGACTCATTTCTAAGCAAGCCATGGAAGATAGAATAACTGATTTAATGAATAGGTTCATATTTAATACCACCGAAATGATTATATGTATAAAAACACAAAGGTTTCAGGCAGGTTGTGAAATTAGAAATGCATTTCAGACTTTGCCAATGCGCTCATCGTGACTTTTGAGACATTTTTTATAAGAAACAACTCTTATGCTTGATTTAGTGAAAGTTTGCAACAGGGTCATTGCATTTATTGTAATTTTCATGAAGAAAGTACAAAGATAAATACCAAAATACTAACATTCACGAGTGGGTCCAGTGAACGCTCTCCAACGTCCACACGTTGGAATCAACCTCTTGTTTCTTCTTCACGTGGATGATTATAACTTTCGTAGTACTTTGTCCATTCTAAACTTGCGCGAACAGAAAACTTTCAAAGTTTTAAACATTTTAATGACGCCTGAGTTTGGATACAAATCAGCTAATAGTTCTCCTACGAAAGTGAGGAAACTCGCAAATAAACCTATGATGAGCGCTATAAAAGCTGACTGCAAATCGTTTAGATTGTATGGTTTCGGCTCAGCATCTTCGGCATCTGTTCCCTCCGATGGAAATGCCATTTCCCAGGCATCATATTTCTCCATCATTCTTCTCGTGAGCCCAGTTTCTACATGTTGATAAATTATTCTATTCAATTTATCATAGAGAAGAGAATTCTTCAAGAAAGGAAACATTACCGGATACGTAACCAGGCACTCTTGCATTAGATGATACTCAGTTTCAACTTCAAATCCATGCCTCATACGAACATTCTCTTTACGGATGGAAGAGAATGGTACACTGATCATTGCAGCATCCATCGCAGCCATCGAGAAGATATTCTTTTTAATCTCCACAATACGATTTTTAATAAAATTAGAATCTGCGGATGACTCATTATCCTCAGAGACAATAAAATAAGTAGGAGGGAAATCTTCGGGGAATATGGTCAAAGAGTATTCGTACAGATTACTCACCAATTTGGTACTTAGCACTTCAGATTGATTTTGCTGATACAACATTTCCTGTTCCAATTCAAGATCATCATAAGCTAGTTGAATGAGCAGTTCTGATTCTTCCAAGGCTTTCAATGAATCAATTTCCGGATACTGAACTCTCTTGCTAAGAAGCGTTGTCATGCAACCCAAAAATGCATTCGTTATGATGATTGCAGAAAAACTGAAAATCACGAAGAGGGCTTTTCCAGTCGAAAGATGGCCCAGGCGTAGGTTTGCTGGGCTACCACACATGAAGTAAGCGTAAACCGTAAACAGAGAAGATGAGTTTCTGTAAAATTCAACTTCTGCGTCTGGGTAGAAGAAGTAGAATACTCTGCATTGTAGATAATGCAAAATCCCCAGAATGATCCAGAAACAAACAATCGTGATGACAACGAGTGTCCATACGAGTGGCGAAAAGCTTTTGAAAATCACCAGACCTTGTGACATAAAACCACTGTGTGGAGTTGCAAAGCACAGAGATCTCGTATCAACGCTGACTGAAAAATCATACTTGGAGTAATTTGCTCCTTCTACATTTAGTCCATACTCAAACGGCTGCAAGTCTATGTCGAATTTCAAGCCTACATCAGTACCGTAACTCTTGAATTGATCTGCCATGTATTCCGTATATGGGTACGCCAATGTGCAATTTACTGCACGTTCGAAGTCATTCAATACTACCGCGTACGTTAAACCCTCAGTGCTTGAGGATGAGGACACAAACCTATATTTATGAGTGGATGCTGAGGTGCTGAATGTGCTGATTGATTTCCTATGCATATCGCTCCAAGAGAAGTCGAAGAAATTTTGATTGGCCTCTACCTCAGTTGAGATGAGTTTTTCCATGAAGGGATTATATCTTTCACAACCATGCGAGTGGCAAATGACTGATCTTATTCCTCTGAAGAAGCGCCAAAAGAATTTGAAACAGAACATCAGGCTGGCGACCGGGTCTGTATCCACAGTGTACTTTTCCAGTCCATTCCCTTTTCCAGAATTCCTGGATTTTAATAGTTTTGTATAAGTTGGGTGGCTGTAAAACTCATCGAAATTTTTTAAGATGAAAATCAGATAATTCTTAGAATTCCAAATTTTATTGATGTACAAACCTCGAGTTGCATTAAATACTCGATCGCTTAGAATCGAGTTTGGTTCCAATTCGGTTGATGATAGTCTCAACTTTTTACTGCATGTTTCGTCCCCTTGCGTCCAAAGAGGACGTCCATCTACTGTCACGCAATACGCAGGTAAAATACCCTTCGACTGATGTTCTTTTCTGATTTTATCGTATTCGCGATTGATCGTGTTCTCGCCGTTTACGTCTGAGAGTTTTGGGTATGAGATTGTGTAAAAAATTAAGCTCATCAGCTCTCTCATACCTTTGAGGAGGAATATGATATTCTTGCCATGATCGGTATTGAAAGCGTTTGTCAAGTGACTGTGGTGGGATATCAAAACGGTTTTAATGGAGGCTTCATGCAAGCGTTGATTAAAGTGCTCGAAAGAGGATTCGGAATGCAAACCGTCCTCGTAAATGTAAAATAATTTTTGTTTCGATTCGTCGACTATGCTTCGACATGCGTTGAAAGCGATTGAAGTTAAAGACTCCCATTTGCTCTCCGGAGATAGCACCAAAATCTGATTAGTTTGCGGACCAAGGAAAATCAGACCAGCAAGGAGGGTAAATAAAAGAGAACACACATGCATTATTCGGGAGCGAATATCACGCCTTGCCGTACTGCAAAACCAAAGGTAGGACAAATCAGTTTGTAATAGATGTTCTATCTGTGTTTTTTACGCGGAATTTTCCATCCTGATACATTGGTTTTAGAGTCGATTTCCTGGAATAAGAATATAGTTTAATCGCTTACCATGTTAATTTCCCTCGCTGAAAACAATACATTTTAATAAGTAAAAACACCTACTTCGCAAGATTTTCACGATTCTAACTTACATTTGAATGAGATTCAATTCTTACCTAAGTCAACCGAGTTACCTTAAATACCGTATCAGCCGCCTCTAAAACCTGCAAAACAAACTTCTGTTGAAGTTTGTTCAGCACTTGAAAAATTACAGCAAGGGCAAATGTTTTTCCTATATTTTCATGTTTAATAATTGAGCTGTTGTCGGGATTGTACCCTATTTGAAATTCTATTCAAGGTCTCATTTCTGTAAAATCAATCTATGTTGCCGTCCTAAGGATGAACGCTGTACAAACATTCGAGAGTCCCCAAAAAGGTTTGTTTTTGAGGAAAGTTATGAATATTTTTCCTTAAAAATTTCAGGAGCTTTAGGTTAAATCGCAAACGTAATGGACCACTAGACAAGGTACGAATTTCAGCATTCTGATACATGTTTCCTAACCAAAATATCACGCAGAACACGATACGTACAACGAAAATTACCGAAATTAACTCCTTACGAAGATTTTTAATAATTCCTGATGCGTGAATTGAAACCACCCGCTTATGAAAACTCAATGCTCTACGTGTTTCACATCGCGCGCTAAACGTTATCATAAACGTCTCAGCGATATAAAAATCTGGCAACCTCAGTCTTGACGCTTCGACTCAGCTATAGCAAATTGCTTATAGTTTGAACAACACATGGTGGGAAATGAACATTGCTCGATTGAGAAGCTTGCTGGAGCCATTGTAGTGCGCGATTTGACTCACATAGAGCTTTGAGTTTCTTATGAGCGGCCAGTTCAATTTCCTCGTAACTGATGTGAAATAAAAACGTTAACATCTTCGCTAAGAGTCGGTTTCAGTAACTTTTGTTGCGCGAATCGTGTTCTACGTAAAATTTTGGTTCAGAAACATGTATTAGAATGCTAAAATTTGTACCCTGTCTAGTGGTCCATTACTTGAAAAATTGGAAGAAATATATTCATAAGTTTACTAGGCAATTCGCGTTTTACCAAAGAAAATGTGGCAACACCTGAGGGTTCATACGGCGTTCTTCCTTAACGCGGAAGTATGGGTGGGCTCCAAAGGGACGGGGACGCGCGTTAGCAATACGGGCGTATCCGATAGTAGTTCGATGTATCGTTTGGTTCAAAAGCAATAGAACGTAACTTCAAACCATTATTTTAGGATATAAGTGAGAGAAGCAGAAAATGACCGTAGCAATTTTACTACTCTTGGCCAATTAGTACTCCCAATATGGATTGCATAAAAATCAAAAATCTATCACATAAAACCCGTTCCGTCAGATCAATTTATTAAATTTTGAGGCTGTGTTTCTGTTTTGAACCAATCGATGTCGATATGTCGCAGGCAATCAACAATCGCCGGCAATTTGCAAGCGGTTTACACGTTTTTTCAATAAATGGCAATAATGTGCATCGCCATGATTCAATTTTTAAGGGTTATGGTCTTCAAAAGTATGAGCTCGGCTTGAAGCGCCTTCATTTCTTGTGATACTGTACGCTTTGTCACGATGTCAGTTTAGTTGCATGACCGATCTCAACCCAACTAATGTCACGGAGTTCACCACACGTTCTGAGTGTGCATATGTTTTTTAGGATGGGAACATGTCTATTCTCATTATAGACAACATAATCAGCACTCTAATCTTGTTCTTTTATTTTTGAATTATATGATTTTCTATATTTATTCACCACTGGCTTGCAAATTGCCGGCAATTGCTAATTGCCTGCGACATATATTATGTCTCAGGATTTCAGGGAGGGCCTTTTCCGAGGAATCAGACCTTTGCAAAAGGAAACCGAGTATCAAGGAAGGCTAGCGGCTCTTGAGGCAAATTGCACAAACGCCTACGACCTGTTCGAGAAGTACGTGTACGGATCTCGTGATTCAGGTGTCATAGTTCACGGTGATTTTCGGCTGGACAACATGATGTTTAAGTACGAGGCCGACGGGACACCCATCGAAGTTGTGTTCTTCGACTTCCAGACGATCTGCATCGGCTCGCCGGCGCTAGACATATGCCGTTTTATGATCTTCGAAGTCCCCACGGACTTAAGACACGCTCGATGGGAGACATTTCTGTGTGTTTATCATGGTAAGTTTGGAGCTCTGCGGCGATAGCGAAGAGAACGGTGAGTGTCGAATTTTCGAAATGGTAATGTAGCATCGCGTCCATGATTTTGGACTCAATGCTCACTTTAACTAGGGATGATTTTTTCGAAAAATCAAAGTGAGCATACCGTCCTAAATTGTGGGATGTAGGTATTCTCGGACAATACACGAGCATAGGGTCCAAAAATGTATTAGGACAATTTTTGTGAAATAAAGGCAAAAAATTGTGCATAGCTTAGGTTAGGTTAGTTACGGTTAGGTAAGGTTAGGTTAGGTTAGGTTAGGTTAAGTTAGGTCAGGTTGAGTTAGTTCAAGTTAGATTAGATAAGCGCAGCATACGATGTTCTATCATGATGAACTTTAAAACCAAAGGAGGTCTGCTTGCTTTTGGACTCCATGCTCAAGCAAAGAAGTGAGAAGTTTAGCGATGAGCATGGAGTCCAAGATCTTGGACGATATGAGCAGGCAAGTATATCAAGGATGAGCATGGAGTCCAATGTCTTGGACGCGATGCTACATAATCTTCGAAATCGAGTTTCCTTCACAATTCGTCTAATCTCTTTTAGATGAAATCACTGAAATAACTAAAACAGCAATTTTCATCTTAATTGTAAAAAAATGAGATATCTGAGAAAGCCTCACGTGTGCAAAAAATGATGTAGTTTCAGGCAAGACAGCAGTAAGTGACATTATTCCTCCAGAGAGCCGATGAAAACAGTGCTTTCAAATAAAGTGCCGCCCTCTTCTGCCAATTGCTAAACTAGGAGTGTGTCAGTTGTGTGTCCAAAACGCGATCAAGAAAACGTACTGAAGATAGTACTTACGGCTATCTTGCCCAACACTAGCCTTATATGAAAATGAATGATACTCCTTAAGATAAGGCTCAGAAGAGCAGCCAACCTTCTAACACCGAAAACACTACAAATTCCTTAGGGAAGAAATTTTAAGGAGAAACGCTCATAAGTCTCTTCAAAAATAGATATTTTTTGACAATAATATGGCAACGCCTGAAGGCTCATACAGCGTTCTTCCTTAGAACAACAGTATACATGACTTTTGAAATGTACGGCATTTAGCAACCAGGGACTACTATTTCTGAATCAAATTAAAAACGACATGTTGCCCATTAATTTCCTCATGTAGATAGGTGCTTTGATAGACGAGCTGTAAGTTCATGAATTCAAAACATGGTCAAAATGATCCACGAATTTTCGTTCATTCTTTCAGATGCACTGGCAAATCAAATGAGAGGGCACCAAAACAGAATACCATCCATTGAGACTGTTGAACTGGACATACGCAAGAAAGGGATATTCGCATACTACATTTACGCACTATGCTGGCCGAATTTATTCAGTAATGGAAACGGTCTCGATTTGATTTCAGTCCCCAAGTTAGAGGGCTTAAACGAGGAAGAGTTGCAAAAGGCGATGGAGACGCACATGCAAAATGTGCGGGGATGGGGTGGTCCAAAGGTCACAGAGATGTTGGCAGAGGTTGTTCGGTTTATGATTGATAAGAATTTCATTTTTGAGTATTAGGTCTATATTATCATATAATGTAAAAAAAAAGAAAAAAAAGAAACAAACATTGGCAAATTTGAAAAGCGTTTTCCTGATACTTACAGTACACCTGAACTTTAAAATATTCTCAAGAAGTCGACTTATTTGTGCTAAATACATCACAATTAAGCCCTCTCTAAAGTGACCACATGAGAAAAATATTTTCTATAATTTATTATTTTGTCTTTTGTTTTTTTTTTTTACTTCACAAGTTTCTGTGGAATTTGGTGTGCTGCGAAGCACGCATGAAAATGAATAAGCACATCCACGTTGAAGTTTTCTCCAGCAATGAAATAAAACTCAGATTACTTCTTCAGCTCATCGCTCTGATGAAAAGGGGAAAAAAGATAAATTGTCGATTGGGATTTCAAGTAAAATCGGATACAAAAATAAAGTCATCGCGTCAACTTCACTCTCTATACCTCAACACAAAACTAGATTATTTTCGGCGTCGAAAGAAATACTATTTCTATAAAAATAATGCTCATGGAAAATCGGTCATAATTCTTCCATAAGACACGGAAATTTAAAAATAAAATAAGAAGGTTGCACAGGAAAGTCGTGAATAATTTAGAGGCTAATTTGTCAGTTTATTGACAGAAAACGTATGTTTAGTATGCCCCGATTTTTTGTTTTAGTACTTTGAAAAACCAAAGATTATATTTCATTGCACTTGAGCAATTTTTAATTGCAGTTATGATAATTTTGTTATGCAGTCCTATCAATCATCGCTTTCTGCGGGTCGATTCTTGATTCGTTATCGAATGACCTTAATCGATATATAGCATGCTTAAGATAGTGGCGTGGCGTGCTTTGCGATGTATCGATTGATCTACCATTTAAACCTATGAAAAATGATCGATATACAGGGTGTTCGAGACAAACACCCTAATAATCGATTCTTTACCACAGCTGTAAATGGGGAAATATCGAAAATCGATCATTCGCGCTTCGCCACTGCATATTACTCTGTTGAAAAGGAAAAGAGAACCCGCGAAAAGGAAATTGAAAAGGAAAGTCGAATAGAATTTCAAGCGAATCCACTTGGCAAAAATAAAAGCATGGAGTAGATTTAATCGCCCCCACCTCAACACAAAAAGATATAATTTTCTTCTTCAAGCGCTGTGCTCTTTAATTAAAAACAACTTATCAAAGATCATGCTCGACCGATAGTACTTATTTCGCTACAGATAAGAAAATGAAATTTAAAATTAAACTAATGTACAGCGTTGAAATTTCGAGAACTATCAGCTCATTTCTTAGTTCTTTAGAATACATGTGCTAGGAAAGACCTGACTGTTCAGTTAGGATTTTTTTTAAAACAAATGAGTACAGACAGGTATTTCCGACTAGTTAAATTGAATCAGTGAGAACGAAAACACACCATATCGGAAGACAAAGTTGCAACCTGCTGAGATCGCAAAATTGCTGCACCAAAGTTGTTCAAAATGTAAAAATAGGCAACCAGCAATACTTTGAAGTTGAAACGTGTTTCAACTTAATTGCAACTAGTTCCAACAATGATAGCTCCTTCGGGGAAGAGAGTAGGCAATCTGCACATCAATCTATTAGTTGCAAGAATCAAACGATTTTGTTGCAAGTTGTTGCAACCTCTGTTACTTGGACATTGATATGCCGACGGATTAATCAGTGAGAACGAAAACACACCAACTCGGAAAAATGAAAATAATCAAGACACAGACAAAACTGCACAATAGGTGGAGAAGTTAGTTTAAGAAAAAGATTTTTGCTGCCGAAAGACAAGCACTTATGGACACTTTAAAGGTCCAAGCTGGAACATATGCTGTAACTACAATGACATTCATGTAAATTAACTGTCTTCAATGGAAATTGAGCGTTTTTGAGTTACCGAGTTGGTGTGTTTTTGTTCTCACTGATTCAATTGAGGTTCCGATTTATGGGAAACTCACTGTCAAAAGTCTGGAAAATGTTGGCAAATGTATTCTATAGGATAAAAATAAAAACCAAGTAAAAACTCAGTACCTTCTCGACTCTCTGCTTTGAGTGCAATGTTACAACGAAAGGAGAGAGGGAAGAAGGGCAATAAACTCTGCAATCAGTTAACGATGCAAGTCAGTGGCAAGGCGTAAATGATCAATCATCGATATTTCCCCGATTACAGTTATGGTAAAGAATCGATTGTTAAGGTGTTCCTGATATCGATCCTTTCCCATGTGTTTAAATGGCAGACCAATCGATACATCGCAAGGCACGCCACGCCACTGATGCAAGTGAAGCCACTTATAGCCAGAATAAAATCATCGCGTTGATTTTATCGCTCCCCCCTTCAACGCAAAAACAGATAACTTCGGCGTCGCATATGTTCTTCAATGAAAGCAACGTGCTAACAAGTAATTATACACATTTGATAGTAATTATTCTGCTGTGTCGACGCACTTCAGACGAACACTGATGGTTTGCGTTGATAATGCGCGAAATATTGGTGACTGTTTTCTAAGTTCTTGATATAACGTTTACAGGGTGTACTCCGTCTTGAAATTTTTATAATCCAGACAATACTTCTTGGTGCGCTTTTGCGATGTCAGTGATTTCAATTTCGGTCGCAGGTGTATTTTGCAAAGATGCTACAGTCACATCAATTAACGCTTCGGCAGTTTTTACGCGCGAAAGTTGAGTGAAGTGAACGGTGCGTAGTAAGTTCGACAGGCGCATTTCAAACTCGCACGTACACTGATTATTGACATAAAAGCTAGTGATTTGATCTACCAGAAGAAAACATTGGTAAGTGGTGAGGTTTTCCTTTTGCTTAAGGTTGGAAAATTGCAAGTTATCTCTGTTCCTGGCTACTAAGAATAAAAGAAGTCGAGGTTGCCGTTAAGAAATTGGACACATTTATGCTAAAAGGAACGATGTGCACCGGGATTGCGTGTAACATAGTTCCTTTTGACAAAAATACGTCCAATTAGCCCTCCAATGATTTTTTTAAGCTGACAATTTAGAGGAATAATATGTAATAATGTGGAAGTCATACACATAACTTTTTCGCCTACAATTCTCGAGGTGGGAAAGACCCACCGTGAGGCATACTCGTCGATTCAAGAATTTGTGTATTGTGTTGTCTACAAATCTCCTTTTGAGACAACTTAAGTCAAAATTTTACTTGGCTATTTGAAACAGGCTGTTTTTCTAATTAGGGTTCTGCCATTGAAAAAGAACAAATAAAATAAAAATTTGCACGTGCTCCCAATGTTCTTACAACTAGCGTAAAGGCTGGGATCGCCATTGTTGGTGCCACTTAAAATCCTTCAAGGACCAAACAAGCCCTCACTTCATTGTGTACCTAATCGTCTAACAAATGGATTGAATTTTGCAAAAAGGAACCAAGAGCATTTCAATGTTGCTAAGATTGTGCAACTCTTTGTACCTTGCAAATATAAACTGATAATCTAAACAAGTTATATCTTCACTCCCAGTCAACTATAAATTCAAGACGAAAATTATCTTGGTCAATTTAATTTTTTGCACGATTCCAGTAATTTTACTGCAAATAATGTAAGTTGCAAAATCCTAGCAACATTGGAATGCTCTTGGTTCCTTTTTGGAAAATACAATCCAAATGTCTTACAAACTCCTCATTTTTAAATGTGATAGAGAGAAGTTAGCTTTCAACAAAATAACCAATCGCACCTCCAACACATTCACATATTAATGCGAAGTGATAATTCAAAGTACTTTTTCCATCACACACGTTATAAAATGATTTTCCTTTACCGAAGTTTACTGAATTTTTTACTTTTCAATGAATACCATTTGAATCTGAGAGCATGGAAAGCAACTAAAAAATCCGCCTTAAGAAATATTATTTTCCAGGGATGCGTGAACAAAAGTAATCAGTTCATCGAAAATTATATGGTCAAAATGAAAATCCTGGATTATGGTCTTTGCTTGATAGGTAACTTTCTCCTTGGAATGAATATATTTTCTTTTTGATTAAAGAAAGGTTTTCTCTGAGTGACAAATTCAAGAATATATCTTCGTAAATCAAGGAAATTGATTTCCCAGTGTGTAGCTCCTTCGACTAAATTTAATGATTGAATTTTCCATAGGGTGATTTTTCGGTGAACTTCCATCGCTTTCCCGGATGGATCTGGAAAAACGATTGAATACGTTTATTTTTCCGGAAGCTGTGGACGCTGGCTGTTTCGGAGATGACGTGGAAAAGTTCGTCAGTTTCGAAATTAAACGCCACCCAGGCAAGCATCAATTTTGTTCTGACGCGACGTTTGGTGACATTACGTTGCAGAAAACGACAGGCCTACACTTCAATCTGCCAGTTTTTGTTAAGACGCGTAACAGGTTTGAAGTTTTAGTACGTTTATGATGATAGAAATGTTTATAAATTAATTTTTAATGAAAAAGCGGTGATGGTTTGAGCACGTAATGTCTGTTAATCCTTATTCAGCCTACAACTGCGCTTCATCCGCGAGTACACATTCTACTCCCGAGGAATGGTTTCAGTGAGACTAAAAAACCCTCCTCTAAGAGCGGCATTACCACAGAAAACCGAAAAATTATTTTAGAGAAAAAAATATAAAAAAATTCGCTCACAGAAAAACTATTTTAGTCTGTTGTGGGACAGCCTTTTTCAAAGAGTTCATCAGCTGAAAATTTTGAAACAGCACGGCCATCTCTGTGAAGATTGGCCACTTATGGAGGGGTGGTTTTTGGTTCCTCTCGGCCGCTCCGAATGAAATGTTGGATTAAAAATTATTGACTAAATGATCACATTATTAACATTTTGCAGTCCGGAGCAGTTACATGGAGATGTTGAATATATGAAGAATTATCGATTTGACTATTGATTCTTATCTAAAAGTTCGCGAGAAACACGATGGTTCCACTGTTTTTCTTTTAAATCAACTCCCGAGCTCAAAAAACGCTCTCAAAGTTAAGGCTGTAATGGAGGGAATATCCCACGCTATCATGAGAGTCCACCTCTACATCAAGACAAACTCTTTATGCAAAGATGGGTAGCAAATACATCAGCAGAGTTGCCGTGTTTTCAGTTTTAGAGCCCCCAAATAAAGTAGCAGCCCTGACAACGTATTTGCTACCGAATGAACCGGACACAGTCCTTCTCAATAATTGCAAAATATAGTCTACATAATGTATTTATCGGCAGCGCTCGAAAACTAGGACCTACTCCTCCTTTTACAGGTCTGAATTTCCACCGAGAGCTGAAGCGGACGCTATGTTCCACAACGAGATATTTTTCTACACGAAGATTGTTCCTATTCTCCGAAGATACGACGAATTCAACATCCTTTCTACAAGCTTTCCAGAGTTTGTGTGCGGAAAAAAGACCAGCGGTCAGAATCCTGAGGATGACGTGATAGTCTTGAAAGATCTCCGCCAGAGAGGTTTCCGGTCATGCGGACAACGGCATTTCGATGAAAATCATCTTTCGTTAGTGTTAGATCGATTGGGAAAATTCCATGGGCTATCGTTGTTGTGGCAGATGGACAATCCAACTTTATTTCAAGAAGTAACTGCTCGGATAAAATTAATCAGCGAGGCAAAATTTTGGGCCGCTTTGGGAGGCATTCAATCCAAAGAGGTAAAGTTTTTAAAGTTTTTAATGTGGCGCTGGCCAAAACTATTAAGAAAGAAAATGCACAGAAATGTGGGTAATTAAGACTAACGTAAATATATTATATACAAGGCCCACATAATTGAAAATTTCTGTGTTCATGATCACTTTACGTAACTTTCATTTTTTTATTTATTTATTTTTTTTTTTTGTCAGATCAACCAAAAGGACTTGGCTCATTGGCCAAATTTTTGGAAAAATCTACCGAGGTCGTAGGATTCTCAAAAATATCTGAAGATGAAGAACATGTCCTGCTGAACTAATGTACTTACTCTTCTTCATTTCGATATCGCTCGAAAGTTGCGGTTTCCGAGTAGCTATCACTGGCAAAAAAGTCCCTCGGATCTAGAGTCCAGACTTTTAATAACATTGACAAGAAAAAAACTCTTAATCCCATCCGAATTTTCCTTGAATCGAAGAATCCAGCCTCTTGATTTAGGCGGATTTCCTTCCGATTCAAGCAAAAAGTCCGATTAAGTCAAGCGTATTTTTTCTTGTCAATGTTTTTAAGAGTCTAAACTCTACATCCAAGCGACTTTTTTTCAAGTGTAAGGCATTGAACTTGATATTATTAATACGATCCAGATGCGATCGTGGCTGCTCGCACCTGATTGTTAACGAGGTTGCAAATTTTCAAAACAAAGATTTCACGAATATGACTCAAAGAAAAACCAACAAAGAAGCATTTACCGCACGTTTAGGTTACTTTGTGTTCCACATCTCTTATTAACACAAACTTTGGGTCAATATTTCTTCCTGTGCAAGATTTTTAAAAAGTTTTAAGTCTGAGGCGAGCTCAGCAAAATCCTGACTTGCTTCCGACTAGCTTCATACAATGGACCATCTTTTCTCAAGCATATCATTTAGAAACTGTGGAGCTTGAGCGAAGTTCGTTAGCAAGTTTTAAATTTTGCAACACTAGTGATGATTAATCTTTCTGTGAAAACTTTAAGAAATGAGTAAGATTTTTCAAATGCAATCAATAACCCTGAAAAATTGATCCGACGCGACGCGGTGATGATAATTCAGTTGACTTATGCAAATATTGCGATAATATAAGAGTCACAGCCAATGAGCGAGCCTACGGCTTAACTGTATTGACACTGAGAACGGATACGGTGTTTAAAAAGTCGTTTAAAGAACTCTTCAAGCCACCTACTAGTTATTTTCAGACAGGATATTATCAAGTGCCTCTCCTCCAAGTTGCGTTAAATATCTCAGAGGCAGAAAAAATAATGAGAAACATGTATGTCTATTGGCTATGGGCCGTATTTTTCGTCCTTCCATAGGCAATTCCTTCCTCAGGAGGCTGCGAATGCTAGGGAAGTTGAAACGCCTTAAACTAAGTGCGTATGCAACGCGCACATCAATCATGCACGAATAGTTGTATACAGCGCCTTATTGAAAGTCGCAGCCTCACATCAAGTGGTTGTGCGTCGCTGTTCCTGCAATCCTGTATATTTATGCTCCGAATGGTTTACATTGATATTTAGGGTGGTTTAAAGAGATCCTTAATCAGGGTGTATCAGACTTTAATTTTGGATTTTCCAGATGAAATTTTTTCGTTTTTCGCGCAAATAAAGTGGCACACATTTGATTTTGAAAATAATATTTGATATATTGAATCAAATGTTTGAAAAATGCTTGAGGCATTCAGAATTTTCTCATCCATTGCCAATTTTCCTAACATTTTCCTGGTAACATCGAATTTCCCGATACATTCCCGGTTTTTACTGATGGTAGACACTCTGTCAATGTGGAACCATAATAATGACAATTTAAACAAAACTCGGATTAAATTTAGCAATGTCATTTCCGGCATATTAGCTTACAAATAAGATGAAAATATTTTCCTTAAAAATTAATAATACTAAAAGGAAGGCTGTTGCAGGTTTGGAACTTTAATTTTTATTTTTGTAAGTACGTGCCTACCGTATAGAATATTTCGAAGTCATAACATTTTTCTTTCGTGTTATTTGTGCTTTGCAGTGGAAAATTCTTGTAATTCTTGCAATAATCTGATTTCAAGATCATTAAAATGAATCTTACCCGAGATTTCTTCAAATTATCCTTATTTTGGTGCAATGTTCAAGACCTCTTTACAGCGTTACAAGAATCACAATGTGAACCATATCGACGGTGTAAGTCGGCAATCACATAACTCGGTTTGCGACGTTGCAGACTTCCTATCATACTATATTTATTAAACGGAAAACTACTCAACGGCAATTCTTTAAAACTGCCGTGATTTTTCTTCTTTATGCGTAGAAAATTCTGCACAAAACTTCAAGGAATGATGTCAATTTGTTCTCCCTTAAAACAAGAACATAGAGGCGGAGATTTTCAGACGAGGCAAACGAGTTACGTGATTGCCGACTTACGCCATCGATATGTAGCCCTCTAGGAAAATGAACTATTTAACGAAGGATTGTGAATACGGATATGACGTTCACATATGCTTGAGCCCCAACATTCTATCTCAGGTTTTCAGGCAGTGCATGTTTCGAGGCGTTGACCCTCTCCGCGAGGAACCAAAATACCGGAACCAATTGACGGATCTGTGCGCCAGTTTCGAGGATGCTGATGAGAGGATGGACGCCCTGGCCGACGCCTCGGGGCCTTTGACCGTGCTCGCCCACGGGGATTTTCACGCCAGCAACGTCATGTTCAAGTACGGAGCCCATGGTAAACCCATCGAAGTTGCCTTTTTCGACTTCGGCACCATCAAGCTCTGCTCACCCGCCATAGATCTTTGTCATTTCCTCCTCGTCAGTGTATCGCCGCAAATGAAACAGGATCGCTGGGGCGAACTCCTCTATCAGTATTATGGTGAGTCCGGTACGGTTGTTCCCAAGTAGCAGTTTGCGAAGAAATTAATGGAAGGAAATTGCAAAGGGCCTTTAGACAAGGTATGAATTAAAGCACAACGGCACGTGTTTTCTCCTCAAAATTTCACAAGGAAAACGAATCCCAACGAGAAGTCTGGAAATCAACTCCTGAAGAAGACATCAGTGTTTTCTATTAACATTAGCTAAATGTCAAAAATACAGTTGACATCATTTAAGGGGCTCGGAGGACAAGGCGCATTAATGCAGGTTTTGAAAGAATTGAAATATTCATGATTTCAAGTAAAACTAAACTTAATGAATATTTTGTGAAAAATTCGCACCCAAATTCCAATTTTTAAAAGTCAGTTTGAACTTCCTATCCACCACAAGGATCTGTGTAATTTCGAAACTTCAAACACGTATTTCTCGAAATTGCAAAAACTGCACTTATGCGCCTTACTCTCCAAATCCCTCGTTTGTATAATCAAACTTCTATTTGATCTGTGTTTAAAAGACTTGTTAGTATCTCGCTCAGGAGTTGAATTCAAAAATTCCCGCTGTGTAAAATGTTTTCTACGTAAGATTTTTTGAAGAGAAAACAAGTACCGTTTTCTTCTACTGTAGATCTTGTCTAGTGGCCCATTCAATGCAATCATATCGCATTATGGTATTTTATGATTTCTCAATAAACTTTCACATAGAACACGATTTGCACGAGTACAACCAAAAATACATTAAGTGACTCACAAGATCTATATTCTTTGAAGGCCTGATCAAACAAACACAAAAAATTATGCAAATTACTTACGAACGCGCGACTAAATTTAGATACATCTGAACAGGAACTTACCTGCAACAAAGAAATAAATTCATTTATTAGATTACTTAAACAGGAGAGGATGGACGAATCAAATTTCCAGATTTGTGCATTTTGGCAATTTTGTGCGGATTCGATCATTAACCTCGAAGCAGGGTGTGAATTTCAATGTCACATAACCTGCGATTAAGGTATTAATCCCAATAACCTAAGAATAAAAATGTATCTCATGAAAATCAGACACAAATTTAAAGAAAATCCTTAAAGAGAAATCTAAAAAGAGGGCGCTTGGGCCCTTTTGCAGTAACAAAATCCTAGCGACACCTCGTGGCGCTTATTAGGTTTTGAATTCCAATTTTTATATTTTGGACGTATTCACATTAAAAAGAACTACTTGTATCAACTTTTTCACGTAAGATCAATATTTGAAGAACAGTAAAAGCTGTTACTTAAAAGTTGTGACACTTAATTAAAAAACTCACGCTTTCCCTATTTTGGACGCGTTTAGGCGGCTACCCAGGATATGAAAGCGTAAGTTTTTTCATTAAGTATCACAATTTTTAACTATTTATATCCATACTTGCATGAGCCTTAAGAGTCACATGAGTATATGCATAACAGGGCTCATGTCGCAATGACTATACAGTTCTTTTTCACTTAAATACGTCCAGTTTTGTGATACTCATTTTCTCTGAAATTTCGACCAGAAAGTTAGCAAATGAATGTAACTATTCCAGGCGCTCTGAGTCATCAAATAGGAGATGATCTATGGAAACCTTCGTTCGAGACATTCGATTTGGATCTTCGTAGGAAAGGGGTCCATGCCTACTACGTCATCGCGGCGATCCTGCCGGCAGTGATGAGCATCAACGAGGGGACTGAAATCCCCCGACCACCGAAATCAGTAAAAAGGGACCAAACGGCACTGAACGAGGAGATGGAGGCTTACATGCGGAATATGAAAGAGTTGGGAGGTACCTTTGTTACCGATCTGCTAGCTGAAATTGTCAGGCATATGATCGATAAAAAATTCATTTTTTGAACATTGAATCGTCAAAATGAGCCTTTTTGATTGTGTAAACTTTTATGACAAAGGAGATTATGGGCACGAAGCTGTCTCTCTTCTCCTGAGGATAATTGAAGATTTTCATTGCTGTTTTTATTGATTTGACGAGTCCTTTATTTTTAGTGATTTTTAGATTTTTAATATTTATATAATTTATTGTGCTCGATACTGGATGGCCCGACAAGTAGGGCTATACCCTAGTCGTTCGTAGAAAAAGGAGAAGAAGAAAAGGAGGAGGAGATCATAATTAGGACCGCGTTCAGCAGAACAGAACCAAGCCACATCAGCTATTGGCAAATTTGACTGAGCAATGCAATTTTTTATGAGAGAATGTTTGTGCGGATTTCTTTGAAAATTTCAAAGAGTCTGCTTTGAACTATGCAGAATATTCACTGAAATTTGCCCCCAAAAAAATCTGCAGAACCGTTTTCATGTAAAGAGTATATTGCTCACTTAAATTTGGCGAAAGGTGATGTGGCGCGGTTTCTCTCTACTAGTCGCGGTCCATTTATGTCATGCTGAATTTATGAATTTATGGCCTCTCTTTTTAAAGGGCAACAACGGGTTCATAGCAAGGAATAATGACCGAACTCAAAGCAAAGCTGAGGAAAGGGGCAAACGAAGAGAGCGAATTCGACTTCATTTGGCAATAAGGAACTTCTATTTCGAGCTCATTCAAATCACTTATCTTCATAGGGAAACTTAGGGCATTAACGTTGTTTACAAAATCGGCCAGAAATATAAGTTCCTTATGGCAAAATGTTCTCCAATTGAATCAGTCACTCATGAGTCATGGAATGTGAGAAGAGATCCTGAAAAAATTCTTTTGGGGCTAATGGTCTCGCTCCCAAACTAAAATTAATTGTGCTGCATTTTGCAATTTGGACCTATAAATTCCGGCCCGGTTTAAAAACAACGTATGTGCCATTAGTTTCCCTATGCACATAAGTGTTTTTCCAGAAGAGCCAGAATTTATAGTTCCAAATTGCAAAATGCAGTCCAATTATCCTCGGGTGATGATTTTTGTCCTCGGATGACGATTCATTTTTACTGGGATTTGTAAGGTATAATTACACTACCGGATGCAAAACATCTTCAAACCAAAAGTAATAAACAATTTTCTAGAACACGGTTCCCGATCGTTTATTGATCATTCATTAAAATCCCCTTGATCCCGTCTCATGACACTGCTTCAATATGTTCCCTTGAAGACGGAACCCACATTAAGAAAAAGGAGCAGTTTCTATGATTTCTAGGAGTCTTCCGGACGATTAGTGGCAATTTGACAAAGAACGGAGGCTTCTTTCAATAAAATGTTCCGGTCAGAAGCTTCTGAGCCCGTTTTCTTAGAACTTCATTTTTGCACTTACGGCTTTCTTCGCTATCACGGCAGCATTCGTGGCTCATTCATGAGAGAACCTTCTACATAAGCATTACGTTAAAAACAAGCAGTGAACTCCAACACAATGTGTTGATAAGGCGCGTCATTAACTCGCACATATCAACCCCTTTAGTTTTCATTTACAGAGATTTCAAAGTAGGCAAACAGCACAACAAGAGAATTCACGATCCAACACTGCGAGGTCAAAGACGCACCTTGACGAGACCGTGTATTGTGACAGTAGAAAGCTATTCGATCGAATTTAAGTTTTTTGATCCGCCTCAAGCAAAATCTTATCAGATTCTTGAAGAAAAGTGCTACGGAATAATTTAAGCGAAGAAAGGAAAAATTCTGTCGAACTCCTAGAAGATAAAGTCGATTTAAAGGTATTTTGGGGCTAAAATACCCAAATCACCGGTAGTAAAAATCCCGTTATATTATTGAAAAGAAATTGACTCGATATAAATGCAATTGCATTAAATACGTCTTGATTTTGTTATTTTAAACGTCTTTCCATGCAAAGAAGTTCAACCATGTCGTTGCTTTATTCATTCATGAATTGAAAGTAAGCAATCTACATCCCGAAAATCTACTGATTTGCCGTAAAAAATTGCAGAAACTTGATATACCAGGTCGATGCACCCACTCGTTGAATTTACCAACCAATTTTGTGAGTGCAAATGTGTAAGAATCAATATGCTATAGTCATTTTGGGTGCATTTATTTTTCATGAAACAATAATAATTTCAATCCCGAAAAACCATCAATTTTCCGTATAAAATCGAAAAAATCAAAATATGTCAACTCCCCGACGTGAAAATTAGATTCTACGTATGTAAAATGTAAATACTTATGTATCGATATGCTGAACAGAACTATGTGTGGACAGTCAGAAGCCCGCGGCAACATTAATTCAACAGAAAAACTGTAAAAATTAGATAGGATTTTAGCCGCTTTGCCCGCCTCTCCTCGCTACTTACAACAAACCGTTCTTATACTCATCTCAAAATTTTTCTCAGAGCTTTGGGTTATTATCAGCTT